TAATTCACCTAGGTTTAAAAAAATGAAATCTAGTAAAACACAAGAACTAAAAATGTTTTTAGCAGTTTCTCTACTTTAGGTAGAGCCATTATTTTTATTTTTAATGAAATATATTTGACATGTAACATTGTATAAACTTAGAATGTACACCATGTTTATTTGATACATTTATATACTGTAATAGGACTGCCATTCTAGTGACAGTTAGCTTCTACCACCTCTCATAGTTATCATTTCTTTTTTGTAGTAAAAATAATTAAGATCTAGTCCCTCAGCAAGTTTGAGGATTATAATATAAATGTTGACTATATTCAATATAGTGTGCACTCGATCTCCAGGTCTTGTCTACTAGTTACAAGTTTGTACCTATGAGGGAGGAATTTATTTCACTCTGCAAAATGAGGGAAACAGGGCTCCAGAACTCAAGTAACTCACCCAAAATTAGACTGGTAGGGTGGGGACTCAGGATCTAAATCCAGGCCTATGAATCCAGTCCTCATCACAGGCTGCTATGCCATATTGCTCCCTTGAAGGACAGCAGGAAGTAAATTACTTCATCTTTAAAATGATGCTGATATGTCATTTTTCTTCTAGTAGAGTAACCTACTTATTAAAAATATCTCACCATGAAAAATCGATGATGGAAAAAACTTCTACCTGAAAATTTATTCTTTATCTGTAGTCAATCTTTCTTTTCTTTCTTTCTTTTTTTTTTTTTTTATTGCTTTAGGTTGAGGACCTGAGTCAAAGCTGAAAGGGAAAATTGTAACCATAATTCTAAAACAATTCAGAGGGCTGATTAAGAAGGTGTGAAAAGCGCCTGTGAGCGTCTTAGGATCAAACTTCTCTATTAGTGATGAGTCAGTATCACCCTACATTTATTTAAATATCACCTGCTCAGAAAGACATTTGCTGGTTATACTACATATGACTGTAGGGCACCTACATCCCAGCATCTTCTCTTTCTTCCCACTTCATTCCCCCCCAGCTCATCTACCTAATGTATTGCATATTTTATTTTCTTATTATGTGTCCACTTTCCACTGGAATATAAGCTTGATAAGGGCAGGGATTTCTTTTGTCCATTTTGTTCACTCCTGAATCCCCACAACCAAGAAGAGTGGGTCTCTAGCCCCTAGTTGATCCTCCTTACAAGTATTTGTGGAGCAAGAGAAGGAAGAGATTATATCTGAGAAGAAAAGAACAAAATGTATTAGATTGCATAACACATTAGGGTAAATGCTGTTGAAATAGTATTTGAAAAATGATCAAATACTTATTCGCAGCAAGTGCAGATCAGTGCAGCTGTTGGATGAGTGAGTTGCTGGCTCCCACAGGGAAAAAGATAGCATTTTATGGTATAGAAGAATACTATCTGGCTTGAATAAGGGACAATACCTCCATTATAGTCTTGCAGTTCTGTTAGCTATCATCTGAAGAGAAAGAACCATTCTACAAGGTTCAAGCTGACAATTTCAGATCAAAGAAATGCTAGGTTGGAAAATTATAGGATTCCCCCAAGTTAATCCACAACAAAGCCAAGCATGGCTCTCCACAGGTTATAAAGATAAAGGTAAGTTTTCCCAGAAAATGTTTCTTTTTATATGGGAATCTAGTATATAATACAATGCTACAAGATGGAAAGAAAATAGTTTTCTCTTAGAGATATAGATATAGCATCACTTTACCATATGAGAAAAAACATTTCAGCAGGATTAAAGAAGTTTGTGATTAATTTTTTTTCTGAACTCAGAATGAACAATAAATACTTAAAAAGCAATGAGATAAATCAAAGTAAAGGTGTTTATAGATAGATTTAAAAATTTTTTTAAATGTTTACATCAACATATAATAAAAATTAAAGGGCCTCCTGGGTGGCTCAGTTGGTTAAACATTTGACTCTTGGTTTCAGCTCAGGTCATGATCTCAGGGTCATGAAATCAAGCCCGGTGAAATCAACTCCCATGCTCAGCGGGGAGTCTCCTTTCTCTCTTCTTTTTCCTTCCCCTCTGCCCTTTCCTTCACTCGTGCGTGTGTGCCCGCTCTCTAATAAATTAATAAAATCTTAAGAAAAATGAAAGGCAAATAGCAACCTTATCAATAAATACTTGCAACTTATGACAAAGGAAAAATATATGTATAACAGCTTTTGTAAACCAATAAAAATATTCAAAAATGTATGGTAATGACAAGAAATTTTAAAAAACAACCAACCAACATATGAAAAAAAAATCCGCTAATGATTAAAATGAAAGTAAAAGTGCTTATCAAACTGATATATTCAGTTATACTCATAGTGCAAGAGGCTCCCCATTATTGTCAATGGCAGTGAAAACTGACATAGCTTTTCTGAAGAATTATTTATCAGTATACTCTCCTGGAAAGAATTGTGCTGTGTCTCTAGGGATGATTCTAATGTGGGAAGACACAATAAGGAACAAATTATCAAGATCCCTGCTTTCATGAATCTTTTATTTTAGCCAGGTAAATAAAGAAGATGATTTCAAAAACTGATCAAGGCTATAAGTGAAATAATCAGAATATAATGAAAAGGACTTTGGGAGGGAATGAATGGCACTACTTTAGACTGAGAAGTCCTCTTTGAGAAGGTGACCTATGGTTCACTGATTCACTCATTCAGTGCCTTCTAGGTCTCACATACTATTCCAGACATTGGAGAGTCTTCAGATGAGGAGATGAAAGTTTTAGCCCTCTGAAAACTCACATTCAATAGAGAAAACACAAACCACAAACGTGAAAAAAAAATCATAATGTTGGAAGACAGTAAGTGCTAAAGAAAAGGGGGAGGCACGAAGTATCCAGGCAAGAGGTGATGTAATTGATAGCAATTAAGTTAGGTCTCTTAAGAAGGTGACATTCTAGTCAAGCCTTGAGGGAGATGAGGGACAGGTGGAGAAGGAGCTCTCTGCAGAGCGAGGAGAAGGAGTGGGACAAGGGCCCTGATGTGAGAATGCAAGCACCTGATCATGTGAGTCAGGGAGGGAGACAGAAGGTTGTGCTAGGAATCTGGGATTTTACTCCAGCTACAAGACCTGGAGCTGTTTTATTCAAGGCAGATGGGGAAGGCCATCTGATCACAGGACAAAAATGTACAAAGTGGATAGGCCACTTAAGAGCTTTGTTCCATAGTGTAAGGGAGACAGTATTTTTTCTTAAAGGTTTTATTTATTTATTTGAGAGAGAGACCGAGAGCAAGAGAGCACAAGCAGGTGGAGGGAAAGAGGGAGAAGGAGACACCTTGCTGAGCAAGGAGCCTGATGCAGGACCTGATCCCGGGACCCTGGGATCATGACCTGAGCTGAAGGCAGATCCTTAACTGACTGAGCCCACCCAGGTGCCCCTAAATGAGACAGTATTTATAAAGATTCTTTAAATAAATGTCTGTACCTTCTAACTCAATGATTTAATCTCAGGATTTATTCCAAGAGCACAATCTCCCCCTCAGAGCATCTCCCTGGCTCCATACACCCCCAAATCCAGCACACACACGTGTGTGTGTACCACACATGCACCCAATAGTAGACAGACACTTATTTTCTTCCCAGGTGTCCCCATCAAGTAAATTATCTCCAAAATCTTTCCACCCTCCTCTTGACTAAAAGCTGTACCCCACTTACACAAACAAGAGGTAGCAACTTCGTTTTGTCAAACAAAACAGGTTTGCCTGGCAGGAGATGAAATGACAGCTGCCGTGCTATTAGCAAATATTTTTAATTCTGCCATTGTAGAAACCTTTAATATATTTTGCTTTACTTTAAAATCCAACACTCCCCCCTTTCTGATTTTTAACTGTCCTAAATCCTCTATCGGACACCTTTCTGGCATCCTGGACTGGTTCTTGTACGCTTGAGGAACTTGAGCTCTCTTGTCTTTTTTCTACTCGAATACACATACACACACACACTCTAGTGTACCTGTTTTGTAAATTCAAGTCTTGAAAATATTAAGTATGCTTACAAGAAAGAAAGAAGGGTGCCTGGGTGGCTCAGTGGGTTAAGCCACTGCCTTTGGCTTGGGGTCCTGGGATCAAGCCCCGCATCGGGTTCTCTGCTCGGCGGGGAGCCTTCTTCCCCCTCTCTCTCTGCCTGCCTCTCTGCCTACTTGTGATCTTTCTCTCGCTGTCAAATAAATAAATAAATAAATCTTAGTAAAAATAAAGAAAAATAGGGGCACCTGGGTGGCTCAGTGGGTTAAAGCCTCTGTCTTCGGCTCAGATCATGATCCCAGGGTCCTGGGATCGAGCCCCACATCGGGCTCTCTGCTCAGCGGGGAGCCTGCTTCCTCCTCCCTCTCTCTCTCTGCCTGCCTCTCTGCCTACTTGTGATCTCTGTCTGTCAAATAAATAAATAAAATCTTTAAAAAAACATAAAATAAAAATAAAAGAGAAAAATAAAAGAAAGAAAAGGAAGAAAGGAAAGGAAAGAAAAAAGGAAGGAAGCAAAGAAAGAAAAGAAAAAAGAAAAGAAAGAAAGGCATACCTATTACATGAATCAACACTTTGGTGGTAGTGGTACCCAAGTCAAGTTCTCTTGTGATTTTAAGCTGCCTATACAGAAAAGCCTCCCAGCTCCAAGTTGAAATGCCAGCAAGGATTATTACCAGACACCCTTCTCTCATCATGGTTTTCTTCATAAACAGTCATAACTGAATCTGGACACACAGGAGAACAAGGCAGCGACAGGTACTTAACTGTCAATTTTGCCATACTGCTCGGGGACACCCTGAGCACCCAAGAACATTCTAGTTCTCCTCTATAATCCAGTGGATATCCTGGAGCTGCCAAAAAAGCCTCTGGGCTCTTCTAGTTCCACCTCAGAGTAACAACCTACAGTTCAGAGCACACAGACACCAGGGACCAACATGAACAAAGCAGAGTGAGGTTCTATCATGAACTTGAAAAATTTAGGCTTGCAAGAAGAGAATGAAAACTTCATTACTGTTACATGGCCTTGGGTAAAAATGATCATCCCATTTAACACGTCCTATTTTCTTGAAATGAGGTTGTAGGAGTAGAATTTAAATTATCATTATTTAAAATTTTTTTTTCACCGAATCTTTTAAATGCCTTAGAAGAAGCACAGTGAGTGTGCACTCCTTCTGTCCTGCATGTTTTCATTTCCTTCCTTCTTTGAGATGCAACTGAAGGTCTGTTCCTAAAAGCTTCACTAATTTCACTGAGCATTTATCTTGCTGGGACAAATGATTACATTCATGGAATTCGTGACCGAGATCACAAAAAGGAGGACGTGCTGCATACATTTGAAGGTCTCTCACTTCTTCCACTTGCTCTTAAGTCCAAGGGCACCTCTAGACCTGCAGGCTACCTACAGAGCCTCTGGTGCCAGGGCCTCTCTGGCCCATGGACCTTGCCATCCGCTACTCCTTCAGCTTACAGCCTCGACTCCTCTTCCTTCCCCTCTGTGTATTCCCTCACCAAAAATCCGCTGAGCAATTACAAATTGAAATAGTCTATTTCAAATGAACACATTTTAATGTCTGGATATGAATTAATACATGCATTATTATAGATGCCTTGCCATAGAGAAATTAACGACCTCAGGTGACACATAAATAAATATTCTTTCATGAACAGTAGAAATGAAGAGTGGCAGAAGGTGAAGAAGGGAAATGAAATTTATAAGAATTCAGGACTCTATTCAATCGCCTAGTCCTGTTATCTCTTTGCAAATTCTCCCCTTTCATTTAGATGGCTACCATAATCTAATTTAGATATTTATAGACCTACTTTGATTTAATAGTAACCTAACAGATTTCCCAATCTCTAATCTTCCCCCACCCCATGCTCTCCAATCTGGGATAGGGTATGAAACAAGAGAATTAAGTTCTCTCCTTGCTCCAAGCAACTGAAATTGTGACTTTGACCCCAACATGTCCTTTCAGTAATTTTTTTCCTGTCCACGTGAATCCTCTATGACAAATCCGCCTGGAAAAGGAACCAAATCATGTGAAGCCACTTCTTTTTATAAATGGGCTAACAATCCTCTTGTGTAAAAACCCAGGGGTGGGAGTGGATGGATGTTAAATATAGGATAGTCCCAACATTTTCTCTCATAGAATATCCACAGAATTAAAACAAAACAGTACCCTTTCTTATGTGAAACTTGCAAATTTCTCTGGCATGCACATGTATTTCTGAACACAGACAAATGAAAAATATCTCTACATTTTAACGTTCATTTGCCCGAATGGGACAATTTAATGAATGTATTGGTTGGTCACTACTGGACATCACTTGTTGATTGTTGTCATTCATCATGCCATCTCTATTTTAAGAGCCTGATATGCACTCACTTTCTTATGTACTAATTAAAATTGTTCATTTAACTCAAGCCATCAAAATCATTAGGTTTTAGGATCTTGGAACCTAAGTCTGCTCTCCATCTCAACCCCAATTCCAGATTCACTTTTAATCTAAACAGGACCCTTTGATTCTTGTGTTGTCAGACCATGCCACCCACAAATGGTCCCCATATTACCCCTTCTTATTCTTAGAATAGCAGTCATTTTCTCCAACACTATTTCTGCCACAAATCTTGCTATGGACGATGAGCTTACCACATCAGCTTCTTAATTTCTCAACTTCCTTCCAATGATCTTGTTCTCCAGCTGACCTCAGCCACCCACCCCAGTGGTGAGCCCCTCAGGACCCTGTCCCCAGCAATAACACCAAGCCTTCCATAGCTCTGTTTCAAGCACTGCTGTCTCCATCTACAATCTTCTACCTTCTCAGCTCCCTCCAATGCTCCTTCCACCTTTTGAGACTTGATATTCATCTATTCAGCCACATTTTCTTTGTCCCTAACTCATCTCTCACCCTCATTCTCTGTTTTCCTAGCTTAAATTCCAATAACACATCATTTTCATCCCTTCCTCCTACATGCTTTCAATACCCTTATACTCTTGCATACTTGGGAAACCCATTCTGATGAATCTACCCTCCATCTGTTCCTCTATGTGCTACCCCTCAGTGTCTCCAGAAGAAAACATACAACTAAGCTAACTAAGTTAAGCTAACTCCCTCTTAATTCGTGTTCATTAATCTCAGAGGCTTTTATGTTGCCCAGTAATCCTACTACATTTTCCTAGTCCATGCACTTTGTCACTTTTTTAGAGAACTATTTTATACTTCCTCTTTTTTCCCTTAAAACCCTTAAATCCTCTTCCACAATCCTGTTCCATCCACTGAATGCACAGAAGCAATTTAAAAATTGCCAGAAGTTCCCAACCCCACATGTACCCATACCCCAGCATAAGTATTCTGCCTCCATCCAGCAACTATGGATGAACTACACTTTGCTCCTTTCTGAGACTAATCCCTCCTCCCAAGCACAAGATCGCATCCCCTTTCTCCTACTGAAGGTCATCACTCTAGAAATTCCCTCATCTCTTATTTCCTCTTCTATCCGCCCCCCCACCTCCTTCCTGGTTGCCTACTGGCCTTGACTGTATGTGGGATGGATGGGGACAGAGATAGGTGAGAAGGAAGAGACGGTGACCACCTGGAAACCAATAATGATGGCATCATAGAACTTTCATCTCCCTACAGGGCAATTACGGACTTCTAATTCTCCAGTTGCAGTTTGATTGTAACTAAAAATAAAAATTCTATTAGCAAACAAGCACTGACAACTGTGGGGGATTACAAGTGACTAACACTGATGCTGACTGTGGTTCTCTCTCATATCCAGCGTTCTCAGCCAGTGAGATACCTGAAAATCTAAGGACCTTTGTTTATGTAGGAAAAAATACACCAGAGGTCAGAATAATTCTATGCACTCCTTCAGAATTCAAGCACTTGTTCATAACCACAATACATATATTTTTAACCTGCAACAGCTGTATCTCTGGGCGTAGAAAAGAAACCAAATGATCACAGTAACAACACTCCCCCTTTTTTTTTTAAATTCAGTTTAAACTACCAGCCAGAATGAAAATACAGGGCTTATCCTGTTCCACAGAAAATTACTGAACCGGGGCATACCATGCTTTTTGCCAAATTCTTCTTAGCTGCATTACGTGGATAACATGAACATCTATTACCTGGTCCAGATGCATCGTCTGTTGAAGGTGTGGGTGGTGGCAACTGTCGTCTTGGTAATGTTTTGCTTTCCTTACTTATCTGAAGTGAAACAGGACCTGTACCTGGAGAGAGCATGTTAAAAATAAATAAAGATGAAAGCCTCGAAACAAAATGTAGTCTATACCAAAACAGCTTTTGTCAAAAGAAAATGCAAATCTAGGATTACAGCAGCCTCAGGAAAAGTCAGTTTTACTCTCACTCTGCCCAAGGGAGAATGTATTCTTACAGAATTTTAATGTGCAGTTTAATGTTTTAGAAACTAAAATAAATGAAATACTACTTCATGTGTTTTTTTCTTTTATAATGCTGATTTCTACCATACTCACTTCTCACAAGCCTACTCTAAAGAAAGAGGAATTGTTTTCATAATATCTGAAAAATATTTACCTTTGATTTTGGATTGGATCCAGTCCAAGATGACACTCACCCTGGCAAATACACCTGGCTTTCCTGGCTGGGCACAGCCAGCCCCCCAGCTGGCAATGCCATATAGGACAAAGAGATCTTTTTCATGTCTACATACTAATGGGTCACCAGAGTCTCCCTGAAACACCAAGAAAATGTGTTCTAAAAATTTGCTTTAATCAGAGCTGCTTTCAATTTTAGAAGAGGAATAGTCAATAATTTATTCACAACACATTTCTTTAATTTAAAAATACTAATATTTTGTCAATTTGTATACCTTAGAGTACTTAAATAAATAAAATCACAAAGATATTATAACTGATACCACAGAAATACAAAGAATCATGAGACTATGAATAACTATACACCAAAAAATTAGATAACCTGGAAGAAATAGATAAATTTCTAGAAACAGACAAACTGCCACGACCAAGTCATGAGGAAACAGAAAATCAGAATAGACCAATTTGAGCAAGGAGACTGAATCACTAATCAATAACATCTCAGTGAAGAAAAGCTCAGGACCAGATGGCTTCACTGGTGAATTCTACTGAACATTTAAAGAAGAATTAATGACATTCCTCAAACTCTTCCCAAAAATTGAAGAAGAGGGGACACTCTAAAACTCATTAGGTAAGGTCAGAACTACCCTGACACCAAGGCAAGATAAGGACACCATAAGAAGGAAAACAAACAAACAAACAAACACACAAAAAAACTAGAGGCCAACATCCCTGATGAACATAGGTGCAAAAATTCTCAACAAAATACTACCAAAATACTAGCAAATACTAGCAAAATTCAACAACACATTAAAAGGATCATATACAATGATCAGGGGGGATTTATTCCAGTGATACAAGGATAGTTCAACATACCCAAATCAACAAATATACTCTACCACATTAATGGAATGAAAATTTAAAAATCTTATCATCTGAATGGTATAGAAAATGTATTTGACAAAATGCAGCATCCCTTCAAGAAAAAACTCTCAACAAACTGGATATAAATGGAACGTATCTCAAGATAATAAAAGTCATACATAACAAACCCATAATTAACATTATACTCAATAGTGAAAAGTTGAAAGCTTTTCTTATAAGATCAGAAACAAACCCAGGGTACCCACTTTCATCATTCCTATTCAACATAGCACTGGAAGTTTTAGCCAGGACAACCAGGCAAGAAAAAGAAATAAAGGGAAGGAAGGAGTAAGTCAAGAAGGAAGAAGCAAAGCTGTCTTTATTTGCAGGTGATATGGTCTGAGAAAATCCTAAAGATTCCATCAAAAAACTGTTAGAACTATAAACAACAACAACAAAAACCTGTTAGAACTAAATGATGAGTAACGTTTCAAGGTACAAAGCAAGCATACAAAAACCCCTGTGTCTCTATACACTAACAACAAAATGCACAAAAGATAAACAGGGGATTAAGGAGGACACTTGTGATGGGCACCAGGTGTTGTATGTAAGTGTTGAATCACTAAGTTTTACATCTGATACTAATATCACACTGTTTTATGTTAACTGGAATTTAGATTAAAACTTGAAAAAAAAGGAAATAAAAAATAATGATAACAATCTTATATACAAAAGCTTCAAAAAATAAAGTACTTAGGAATAAAGTTACCCAAAAAGGTGAAAGATCTCTACCCTAAAAACTATGACTTTGATGAAAGAAATTGATGAAGATGGAAACAAATGGAAAACATAATCCCATGTTCACAGATTGGAAGAATCAATGTTGTGTCCATAATACACAAAGTCACCTACAGATTCAAGGAAGTGCCTTTAAAAATTCCAATAGCATTTTTCATAGAGAGACCAAAAAAAAAAAAAAAAACCCCAAAATTCACATGGGCCCCCAAAAGACCCTAAATAGCCTAAAAAGCAATCCTGAGAAATAACAAGGTTGGAGCCATCACATTTTCTGATTTCAAAATATGTTACAAATCTATAGTAATCAACACAGTATGGTACTGGCAGAAAAATAGACACATAGACAAAAGGGCTAGAATCATGAGGCCAGAAAAACCCTCATACAGTCCACTAATACTTGAGACAAAGGAGCAAAAAATACTCAATGAAGAAAGGATAGTCTCTTCAAAAATGATGTTGGGAAAACTGGACAACCATAAGCAGAGTGGAATTGAACCCTATTTTATACTTGAAATGGATTATAGACTTAAATATAAGGCTACAAACTGTAGAACTCCAAGGGTGGGTAGAAAGCACAGGGAAAAAGCTGCTTGACATAGGTCTTGGCAACAATTTTGTGGGGGGTTGATATAAAACCAAAAACACAAGCAATAAAAGAATGAATCAATTAAGTGGAACTACATGAAACTAAAATGCTTCTACACCTCAGAAGAAACAATCAACAAAATGAGAAGGCAACTTATGGGATGGGAGAAAATATTTGCAAATCGCATATCTGATAAAGGGTTAATATACAAAATACATAAACAACTTATACAAACCGATAACAAAAATGATACAACCTAAAAAATGGACAGAGGATCTGAATAGACATTTTTCCAAAGAAGACATACAGATGGGTAACAGGTATGTGAAAAGATGCTCAACTTCACCGGTCATCAGGGGAACACAAATCAAAAGTACAATGAGATATCAACTCACACTTGTTAGAATAGGTATCAAAAGGACATAAAAGATGTTGGCAAGGATAAAGGGAAACCTTTTGCACTGCTGGTAGGAACATAAATTGGCACATCACTATGGAAAATAATATAAATTCCTTAAAAAATTAAAAATTGACTACCATATGACCCACTTCTGGGTATATACCCAAAGGATATAAAACAGGTTATCAAAGAGGTTATCTACACTCCCATATATATCGCAGCTTTATTCACTATAGCTGAGACATAAAAACAATCTATTTTTCTGTCACAGGATGAATGGATAAAAAAATATGGTATATACATATATTTGACATATATATATATATGACAGCAAAAGACAAATATTGTATGATATTACTTATTCATGGAATCTAAAAAAGTTGAACTCAAAGAAGCAAAGAGTAGAAGGATAGTTACTAGAAGCTGGGGTAGGGAGTGCTGGTGGGGAATGGGGGAGATCTTGGTCAAAGGGTACAAACTTCCAGTTATAACAATTCTGTGATTCTAGTATACAGCATGGTTATTATGGTTAACAATACTATATTAGATATTTAAAAGTTGCTAAGAAAGTAGATCTTAAGTGCTCCTACCACAAGAAAGACATGCTAATTATATGAGATGACAGGTGTTCATTAACTCCACTATGGTAAGCATTTCAAAATATACAGGGGTATCAAAGAGTTACACTGTACATCTGCAACTGACACAATATTATATGTCAATTACAGCTCAATAAAGCTGTAAACAAAAAAAAGCCTTAAAGCATAGGATTTACCTTTTAAAGTAGATTTTATGATTTTTTAAAAGATTTTATTTATTTATTTGAGAGAGAGACAGATCACAAATAGGCAGAGAGGCAGGCAGAGAGAGAGGGAAGCAGACTCCCCACTGAGCAGAGACCCCGATGATGCGGGCTCCATCCCAGGACACTGGGATCATGACCTGAGCAGAAGGCAGAGGCTTTAACCCATTGAGCCACCCAGGCACCCCAGCCTTAATGATTTTTATCAGCCCCTTTTATCTTTGACAGAAATGTACTTTTTGTCTTCTGATAAAATAAACTGAGCTTATGACATATTTGACATGGCTTTTATTTTATATGAAGAATTTTATGGAAGAAATCCTAAGGTGGGAATAGGGAGATAGATTCCCTTGTCTGTAATGCAGAACAATTAACTTGTTCTCTGGGCCTAATTTTTTTCTTTATGAAGTAAGGTTACACTTGAAACCTCTTTCCAGTTTGTAAATGGTCTGATGTGTCAAGTCAGGTTTGTTTTTTCTTTAAATTACTGATTCATTCAGTACCAACACATACTAAAGATTTTTTTTCTTGCAGTTACAAACATTCCATGATCCAGAAAGGGCCTAATTCATTTACTATTGCCAGGTACTATCCCAGGGCTTACCATATGGTAAATATTCAATAAGCAAATGGTATCTGTTTATTTTTAAAGAATTATGTAGTGCCTACTGTGAGCTGGGTATTCTGAGCAAGAGAGAGTATAAACAAATTAGATGGTGATAATAGCTACAAAGAAAATAGAGCAAAAAGTAGAGAATAAAGGCAGGTAGTTGTGTGTGCTTACACACTTGTGTGGGTGTATGTAGTTTCAATAACACTTGAGCTGATATGTGAGAGATGAGAAGGAGCTGGGTTTTCAAAAGCCGGGAGGAATAGCATTTTATGCAGAACTGGTGCCTGGGCTACCGCCCCAAGACAGGCAGGATGCAGGGACTTGTAAGGCCAGAACATATTCGGTGCGGCTGAAATATATAAGGTGTATGAAATAGATTGAAAAAGTCAGCAGGAACAGGACATAGGCTACTCTGGGAAGACCGAGATCACCCTGTAGGTCAAAGAACTTGACATTATCAAAGACAATCTAGAACGTGTCCTGAGCAAAGCAGCACAGAATTCTGCATTGCGTCAGAAACTCCACATCTCTGCATTCCAACATCCTACTTGACCTTCCCGGAGGAGAAATTACATTAGCAGGTCCATTACTTCTAAGCACACACAGGAGAGTAAAAATCAACTACCTGATAGAAATACTCGGGTCCACTTTACTGAAGTTTCTGAAGTCACCTTGCTAGTAACTTGGTGTTCTTTAGCTTGCCACGTTTATTAGCCAGAATCTCAGCTCCTCTTTTCCTCCCCTGTACTGGCAGCAGATTTGGTCGTGCTGCAAAGGGACAGTTGGATGTAGCTGAAATAAAGGCCCACCAAGATCGCACCTCTGTCATGGACCTAATTCCTTCCCTAGTTCTCCTCTGCCCTCTTGGTACACAGTAAAGTGTGCCCTTAATGTCAGATGCTGTCAAACCTGACAGAGACAACAGAGCCATCTGTGATTCCTTTGATTTGAAGCAGAGAGAAAAGCCATCCCTCAAAAGGGGAAAAATGACCACATTAATTCAGAGCACTTTTCTATTTGATATGTATAGTACAGCATTTATGTCCTTTAGCAGATGGTGTGAGTGTCCTTCTGAGAGTCTTCAAGTCTTCCAGGCCATATCCTGGCTGTGTGCCTGAGGGCACTTCCCCTTTCAGTTCCATCCACAAGGGAGACCAGCAGTGTGGAAAGTGCAGAGGGACCACAAGACCCCTCCCCCAGCAGCCCTGGAACCACAAATTTGGGGAAGCAGTATGTAAATATCCCAGCTCCCTCACTCCTCAGATGGGACAAATGTGTTGAGTGCATTTTGCATTGAAGGATTAAGCTCAGTCCCTTTACTGTGGTAGCTGACTTTGTAGAACTTCTCTCGCATTTCCTGCCTTCCCTTCCCTATATTACCCTCCTGACTTTCCTACCAGCCATGTCTGCACTTCCTATGCAGACCATTGTACTTGAATCTTTGTCTCAAGGTCAGCTTCTGGGGAATGCAAATTCAAAGGCAGAAAGCAGAGTCTGAATAGTACTTGACACCACAAAAGGGGTTAACTGCCATAAATTGATACTCAGTGTTAAGAAGAGACCTCCCTCTTTCTCTCCTCACATTTTTACATGGAAGGACTTCTTCCTATAATAACACCCAGTTTTCTCCCATTGGTTCTTTTTTCTTGATTAAGGTGAAAAGGATCAAAAAGCAGTACAGACTAGAGATTCATCCTTTCTTCCCTCTGTATTCCAGACTGGTATGAAATGATAAACCCAGAGAAGTGTATTGGCCCTGAAGACCCAACAGTTTCTATCAGTAGGCTGCCTCAAATCCAGACTGCTGAAGGAGAGTTACAGAGCATCAGAAATCCTTTTTGGTTGTATCTCCAAGGTCACATTCCTTGCTTGGCTTCGTGGTTATGAAAGCCGGTGTTTTATGATCCATTTGTCCACATTCTGTCTTCCTCTTAGTGGACCTGAACTTGCCAAAAGCACATTTGTCCAACTGACATGTGGATATGACTATACCACTTTTGCCTCTAAATATGTGAAATTAAACTACTATTTTGGGATTTGTTTTCCACTTCATATGCCAACCCAGTTCTTCAAAGTTTCTCATTTTCTTCACGATCATTTTAATCCGTGGTAGAAAATTAAATGGGAACACAAAGGAGATTAATATTAATGTAAAAGCAATTAGGATACACTGACTTAGCCTCCTCCTTTGCTTGTTCCTCTTTTCCCAAAGCCTAGCATCTCTCTGAGGCCCTACGTGCCCATGGGCTCCTAGTCCCCACCTGCTCTCCTGCTTGTAGGCTGCTCTGGCCTCTCAGCAAGTTCAGAGTGAGGTGCTCACTCTTCCTGTTATCCTACTGGCCTTCCAGGAAGGGCACACTGTCGGGCTGCCAGGTGGCCTGTGCCTCTGAGCGTCTCCTCCTGTTCTAAGGAGAATCCCCAGCAGACAAGGACTTTGAATCTTCCTCTGAAAAATTAATCTTCTCACCTGACAGAAGTCTCTCCCTCCAGAGGCTGCTAAGTCAGCACACGTCATCTTCTCCGTGAGCCCTCCTGGGTGAGAGGAGTGAGCACGTTCCCAGAACTCTCTTTCCAACACAAGCACCTGGATCTGTTGGAAGCTCCTTGCTAGGCCTCTGTCTGTTGAAGGAACGGATTCATAGGCAGCTTCGTAATGAAGTAAACACCCAATTCTGTGAACAAACATATTTAAGTTTAGACTGGTCTGTACTACTGTAGTTGCCATCCCTCAGGTTCACCTGAGCTGACGGGGAACCAAATGCGTCTCATGTAGGATGTCTGTTGTCAGGTGTGGCATCTTTGCCAAGGAATATATTGTCAGGAGAACAACACCAGAAACATTTTTTTCCCCACTTACTTCTGATTCAAAGTTCAGTGTTTCACATATTGCCACATAAGAATTCAGAAAGGAAAATTCAGCAAGACATGAATTGCTATTGCATAGAATTTATGTGATGATACGTTTTTACACAGTATATTTATACATAAAATATATTATCAATGTGACAGGTTTATATGATTTCCTAATATAAACCAAAATCACATTCCGTTTTCCTCAACCGTCACTGAGACTAATCTCAACCCCAGTTTAAAAGGACTAACGATAAAGGCTGTAAGGCTGACAATGAACACTAAAACACTCATAACTGACCCTCGGGCAGGCCTATGTTAATACGTATTTATGCACAACTTATTCTATCATTTTGGATTCCTAGTTAAAAAAAAATAAAAAAACTAAGTTTAGTGTTAGAAATCACCTTACAGGGACGCCTGGGTGGCTCAGCTGGTTAAGCAGCTGCCTTCGGCTCAGGTCATGATCCCAGTGTCCTGGGATCGAGTCCCACATCGGGCTCCTTGCTCGTCAGGGAGCCTGCTTCTCCCTCTGCCTCTGCCTGCCATTCTGTCTGTCTGTGCTCGCTCTCCCTCTCTCTCTCTGACAAATAAATAAATAAATAAATCTTTAAAAAAAAAAAAAAAAAAGAAATCACCTTACATTTACTAGTACTTTCACAGGACTCCTGCCCACCAATACAACATTGTGAGGTGAGCTGTTCGCACACGTGATCACACGGAACTCACGGACAAAAAAGCCAGAGTTCTGAAAATCAGATCTCACAGCACTGTGGGACAGAACTAGCCATTAAAGCCAAGGTTGGCCTCTGAAGTTTCTGCTCGTTTAATGTCCCCATCTAATACATAAATACACTTAAGGTATTTAAAAACCCTCTTTTCAGGGACCATCCCCACCACTGTTCTTTACCATGTCTGAAAACTGAGAACTCATTTTCTCTCAGATTGGAAGAATGAATTCTTTCACAAGATTCTAACCACCTCTCGGTTGTCTGGTGGTCATGGAAGTGGTGAAGGTTGAAGGTATCAGAGAATGGGTACATTTATTCAAGGGCTTAGAAGCCAGTCAAAAAATATTTGCTGAGTGTTTACTCTATGCCAGGTAAACCTGTAGCTCTGGGGCACGGTGGTGAATTAGGGAAGTGCTGCCACAAGGTTTCCACCCTAATGCATGAGACCCGCCTGGAGAATGATTTTTTTTTTTTTTAATTTTAAGGATTTAAAAAATTTATTTATTTCAGAGAGTGTGCAAGCAAGAGCATGTGAGTGGGGGATACGGCAGAGAGGGGAGAGAGAGAGAATCCTTAAGCAGTCTCCCCACCGAGCAAGAAGCCCAACATGGGGCTTGATCCCAGGACCCTGAGATCATGATCTGAGCTGAAACCAAGAGCTGGCTGCTTAAACGACCGTGCCATCCGACGCCCTGGAGAATGAACACACATGCTAATGTCAAGTACATTTCTGGGTAAGGAGATGATAAAACTGGGTCGTGCGGAGAGTGATGGAAGGGCAGTCCTGAAGCAGCAAAGTGACCGGAGGAGGGAGTGCTGTTGGAGCTGTGAGGAGAATGAGGAGGAGGCAGCTGGGAGAAGAGCAAGGGTATTATTCCAAGCTTCAGAAAGTAGAACAGGTCTTATTTAAAGAGAAAGAAAGAAGACCACAATGCCTGAAGGGGACAAAGGGAGGAAAAGAAGTTGGAGAAGTAAATGGAGGACAAATCACATAGAGTTTTCCAAGCCAGACTAGCAGTTCAGATTTTATTCTAAATGTTAAAAAAAAAATTCAAAAATTATCAACAGAACCAGGCTGATTTTAAATCCTAGCTTTGATATTTATTAGTTATGGGATCTTGGCAAGGTACTTAAATCTCTGAGCCATAACATCCTCCTTTACAACCTGGGGAGGATAAAATCTCCTTATATGGTTGTTGTGCAGATTTTAGGAAAATGCAATTTGGCCGCAGGTAGTACAGAAAGCTATGATCATGTACACTGTGCATGGTCAAAGATGAATTCCCCTCTTCCCAAGCTCACAGATTCCAAATAAAGGATACATAAACAGAAGGAAAACATAAAAGAAAATTATCTTATACAGCAAAAAGAGGCAAAATGCAAATGTGAACCCAATAAGATCCATCAGTATTTTGCTATGGCTCTAAGAACTCTAGCCTCTAGCCCAGGGGTCAGCAAAGCACAGTCAGTGGGCCAATTCTGTGCCAGCCTTGGGCTTTTATAGCACAATCTGGGAACTAGTTTGGTTTGTACACTATTTTAATTACAAAAAAATTTTTTATTTGACAGACAGAGAGCACAAGCAGAAGAACAGAGGGAGAGGGAGAAGCAGACTCCTCACTGAGCAGAGAGCCTGAAGCAGGATTGATCCCAGGACCCTAGGATCATGACCTGAGCCAAAGGCAGACACTTAAGCGACTGAGCCACCCAGGTGCCCCTGGTTTGTACACTTTTAAATGTTTTTTTTTAAATCCAAAAGAACATTTTATGACACATGAACAGTATATGAAATTTAGATTTCATGAACAAACTTCTACTGGAACACAATCCATTCTGTTACATATGTATGTCTATGGCTGCTTTGCACTACAATGGCAGAGTTAAAAAGTTGTGACAGAGAACATATGGCTTGCAGAGATGAAAAAATTTGTGATTCGGCCCTTCACAGATCTAACTTAACTATACTTAGTCACCCTAAAGGAAAAATATAAAATAACTCATTCTCTGATCACTTAAAACCAAATCGAACATGGGTTCTAGCCTTCAGAAGGAAGAAAGGCTAAAGCAGATACTGCTTTTTATCATCTCCATGCCAAATTTGCAAAGTTAACAACTGGCAGTCCTGTGTAGGCAAGAGTAAAACATTTACCTTCACTAAGTCTCCCCCATCCAGTCACAGCACAGGTCTTCGAGGGAAAGAGCGGCTCCATGCTTTGTGGGAGACACACAGGCCTCACGATGGAGTTGAACTCCAGAGGAGAGCTCAGCTCTATCAGGGCAACGTCAGAGTCATGATTCTGTCTATCAAAGGCTTCTCATACCAGGATGTGTTTTGCCCTTCTCACCTCTATCAGTGGTGAGTAAGCGAATTACAAGTTCAAGTCAATGAGTCTAACTACTTCCCCGCATAATAGTCCAAAATAAACCTTAAATCTCCACATTTCCATACATCAGCAACAAAGGTGACTCTGTACTGAATTTAAAAGGGCAATCTCTGTTTATAATTTGCAGGAGGCCATGAACCACTCTCTGAGGACTGGCCATTCTGGAGAAACCAGGCCATGTGCACCTGTGTACACAGACCTCAATTTGCACTTCCTGACCTTCCTCCCTCAATTCTCTGATTAAACTGTGATCTCAGATTGTATCTTTAAATGTTGGTATAAATGGTAAGTGTAAAGGGGCACTAGAAGATGAATACTTAATGATATATTTTAGTCAAAGGCATTCCCCGGCATGTGGTAACACTTAGAATACCAGCAGAATTGTCCTTAGAAATATTTCTCACCTGCTCAACTGGTTCCTTCAGGGTTCTGTCACGGTGTCCAGTGACAATGGTCCAGAAGAGAGGATTATTTTTCCTGGAGAAAGAACCAGAACAAATGTCTGACATGAAGAGACATTTTTCACCATTTGGTCTAACCCCATGTGGCTCTACTGACAGGCAATGAGTCTAGTTCAGCCAGATGTCCTACCCACTCTTCTGTTTGGTGCCTTTGTGTGGCCTCCTTGCTGGGAAGGTACACACCTCCTGAGCTACCTGAAGAGTTCTTAGTTATATATCCCGCCCCTTTCTTTTGGCCATAAAATGACTTTGGAGACCCCGCCAAATATCACCAAAGGCTAGTTTTAAGTTGAGAAGGAAAAAAGAGAAAGTACAGCTTACTTTAATTTCACAGCATAAGAATACATGAAGGGGCGCCTGGGTGGCTCAGTGGGTTAAGCCTCTGCCTTCGGCTCGGGTCATGATCCCAGGGTCCTGGAATCGAGCCCCACATTGGACTCTCTGCTCCGCGGGCAGCCTGCTTCCCCCTCTCTCTCTCTGCCTGCTCTTTGCCTACTTGTGATCTCTCTCTGTGTCAAATAAATAAATAAAATCTTAAAAAAAAAAAAAAAGAATACATGTAAAAAAAGGGAGGGGCACGTGGGTGGCTCAGTCAGTTAAGCATCAGACTTTGGCTCAAGTCATGATCTCAGAGTCCTGGGATCGAGCCCCACATCAGGCTTCCCACTCTGTGGGGAGACTGCCTTTTTTTTTTTTTTTTTAAAGATTCTATCCTTTTATTTGACAGACAGAGACCAAAAGTAGGCAGAGAGGCAGACAGAGAGAGGGAGGAGCAGGCTCCCCGCTGAGCAGAGACTCCGGATGCGGATGCGGGGCTGGATCCTAGGACTCTGAGATCATGACCTGAGCCAAAGGCAGAGGCTTTAACTCACTGAGCCACCCAGGCACTCCTGGGGAGATTGCTTCTCCCTCTCCCCACACCCAACTTATGCCCTCTCTCTCTCTTCCCCTACCTCTTTCCCTCTCCCTGTCCCCTTCTCTCAAATAAATAAAATCTTAAAAAAAAAAAAATGAAAAAACCCCTACATTCATAATAAGTTAGCTTCTGGCCTATATTTTACTGTTAAAAGTATCCAAACATTATCTTACAGGAACACATCTCAAATTATCTTTGATCAAACTACCAGAATTAATAGAACAGAGGTTAAAAAAATATATCAGTTCACAAAACAGGTAAAACTCATCCACGTTGTTGCTTTCAGGGAGGGGTGGATGGTTGCAAGAGGCATAAGGGGACTGCTGGGTGTTGGGAGTATTTCATTCCATGATGTGGGCACTGGTCCCAGGGGTGCTCCCTGTGTGCAAATTTTTCTAACCATAAACCTGAGATCTGTTTACTTTCAGTATCCTTCAAATGGATGTTTAAAAAAAAAAACAAAAACTGAAATCCACATCCCTTAATCTGCCACATTAAGACTTCCAGGTGAAGAAATAGCTGAGGAAAGAGTCCCTTAGTTGTCACAGATATTCTGTCACATCAGCTTTGAGATTCTTCAACTTTTCCAACTTGTTTCCTTTGGAAAAGTCAAGTTACTGCACTTATTTTTTCAGTGTGCTTTATTCATTGAAGTTTCTTCATACACATAGGCTTCTTCTCTCTAGTCATAACCACGCTCATTTCAATTCCTCGCGTGAGGGGTCTGACTTACGCCTGTGTTTCAGTGTGCGTTTATGAAGGGAGCGCCTACTCAGGTGAAGTGCTTGGCAAGTACCTGCAGATGGTAATGACTCCATAATGACAGCCATTAGTGCTGTTATTATCCGCCATGCACTCTGACAGAAGGATTAAACTTTATTTTCAAAGTCACCCTCTCAATTATTCCTTGGTAGTAAAGGAACTTATTTCTTAAAGCCATTCTACTATATATAGAGGATAGTGTGCACAATAAAATGAAATAATAAAAATCATGGTATAGCTGATAACGTAGATCACAATTTCTAGTGATGCTATAGGTGCCCAGTCATTAAATATCCTTTAATTTGGTGGAGAGCACAACATAAAAAGCATCATGACAGAACAACATATATGTTATGAGGCAACAAACCCCGAGTTTTTCCACTAGTGGGAGGATAGCTCCAAGTAGCAAGTGATAAGTTTCTCCATCCTTTCTGGCCGCTTGCTCATAACCAAGTTTCTTTTCTTATATCCTTAGGGTCTTATCCCCCATCTAACATCGGATGTCCCATTGGGTCCCATAGGACACTTCTGCTTTGGGAGAAGGAAGGATCACTGCTGAATTACAGAAAAAAAAGTAGCTGGAACTAGGGGGAAAAAAAAAGTTTGAGACAGAAAGATTCCAATGTATAACTGCAAAGTGAATACAGTCCCCTCAAGTGAGTTAAAAATCCCAAATGAGCACAAAGACTAGTGTGGAACAGCAAAAGAACACCAGTTTTCCTTAAGTTTGGGACATTACACAAATCCTCAGGCCCCACGTCAGACTTACAGATTCAGAAACCCTCCGGGTGATTCTGGTGCATGCTACAGTTTGAGAACTAATATTAAGAGTAACCAGTGCCAGGCAAGCCATGGGAGGTGGTACGATGTTGCTGCCGGTTATCCTGAATGTCCTTGGGGTGCTACCCAACAAGGTCGGCTGGTCTGGCACCTAGTGACCTTCAGCAAAAATGATGTCTACCTCAGCTCCCAGACTTTGTATGTCTCCCCGGCTGGCTTATCCTGCACGGCAAACTTCCATTATCAATGGATTTGGATACGCAGAAGCCACTTTCAATGGCGGATGGAGCCCTTGGTGTCTACCAGGTCGATGACGAGGCCGGGAGAAACAAAGCCATGAGGGGAAGCAATTGCAGAGTTCCCAGAAAACCAGGGCACGAGTGGAACACATCGCCTTTGTTACTCTGGCCTATCAAACACTTCCGGTGTTAAGAGCCATACACTGCAAGGAATGGCTTCAAAAAACATTTCTTTGGTGAAAGTAGTTAGGCAACTATGAAAAGATAAAAAATGAGTCCCACAGACATTTTTCCATATCAGTATCAATAGAAAGCACAATGTCTTGTGCAAAAAGTCATAAAACAATACATGTGGTATGTACAAATACTATAAACTATATGCCTGTGTGGTTAAATGTTAGTGGGAAATCAGATAATTAAAACATTCTTAATATTGATCACCTCTAAAGGGGAGGAATGGATCATAAAATGGAGATAGCTTAGATTTTTCTTGATAACTTTAACAGCCTTTTCCCACAAGTATTACTATTATAAAAATCTTTTTTCCCCCCAAAGATTTTTATTTATTTATTTATTTATTTGACAGAGAGAGTGAGAGCACAAGGAGGGGGAACGGCAGAGGGAGAGGGAGAAACAGGCTCCCCACTGAGCAGGGAACCCCATGCAGAGCTCAATCCCAGGACCCTGAGATCATAACCTGAGCTGAAGGCAGATGCTTAACTGACTGAGCCACCCAGGTGCCCCATAAAAATCTTTTTTTAAAAGAAATCACTGATGAAATTACACAAATATTCCTTTTGTGGTAAACTTAAATGGTTCACAAACATTTATGGCTGATTGTACTTACCAATCTCAACTGACTCACCCAGTTGAACACCTCCCTTGTGAAGAATGGTCTTGCTATGGTCTGTATCTTGCTACAAGGGGTCTGGTCCATCACACAAATTCAAGAATAGATTATTCTATTTGACAAGGGAACCTGCCAAAACTTCTGTGTCTCAAGCTTCTATACTAATATTTGTTTTCTCTAATACATTAATTCTTACTAATTAACCACTTACTGTTGAGGCTTCTTTTCCATGATACATCAAAATGAATTCTGATAGAATTATTATAAATGGGCATCTCCAAGGGAGGGAAGGCTAGAATGAATGATGTGGTATTAGACAGAGTTGGAAACATCCACATGACCTCATGTTTAGCTTAATGTAGATACAGAAAGAAAGCTAGGTTTATAAAATGGATTCGTGTGCATGGCTATATTTTCTAGCTCTGTTTGCTGAGAGAACCTAGCACCATAACACCCTAGTAGCAACTAGTACACTGGCTACTGAGATCTTAATTTCTCATACCATTCTCCAATAAAATAAACCAGAGCTCGTTGGAGAAATGACTGATTCCAGGACTGAGCAGGGAACATGTAAGATAAACATGGATCATTCTGTAGTGTCACAAACGGACACACATGAAAGACACTGAAAGAGCTGACACTGGTCAAAGCTGGAACCATCTGAGCAAGAATGTTAGTATTTTATATAGTATCATGTTGTATTTTAAACTAAATATCCCCAAGTCCATACTGATATAAACAAATTATTTAACAAATAAATAGAGAAGAGACATCCCATCAGGAAAATTTCCAACAATTTATATAAATACTCTCCACTCAGGGAGATGGAGCTTAATACCCAGAGTCTCAGCTGTCATCTATACTAAGTGACTTGCTTCCAAAGAGTAAGTGTGGAAAGGAGGAAAATGTAACTTTATGATGGAGATTGGCAAACCCTGCCTTAGCCACAGTCATCATCAGTGACAAGTCATGATGATAATATGTAACCTTCAAATAATATAATAAGAATGGCATATTACCGCTGTGGTTTTCCTCCTCTAAAACCAAAATCCCAGTAAAACCATGAGGAAATACCAGACAAACTCCAACGGAGGGATCTTCTACAAAATAACAGAGGAGTACTCCTCAAAACTGGGAAGATCATCCAAAACAAGGCAAGACTGTGATACTTAGAGCCAAGAGGAGCTTTATGTGACATGCCAACTAAATGTAATATGGTGTCCTGACTGGCAAAGGGAACAGCAACCACAGACACCTGGAGACAGGAGCAAGGGTGGTGTGTTTGAGGAATGGGTCTGACTACTGTGAGCAAGCACAACAGTGGTGCTTGATCGAGGCTGTATTTTGGAATCATCTGTGGAGTTAAAAAAAATAAAATAAGGGGTGCCTGGGTGGCTCAGTGGGTTAAAGCCTCTGCCTTCGGCTCAGGTCATGATCCCAGGGTTCTGGGATCGAGCCCCACATCAGGCTCTCTGCTCAGCAGGGAGCCTGCTTCCACCTCTCTCTCTGCCTGCCTCTCTGCCTGCTTGTGATCTCTGTCAAATAAATAAATAAATAAATAAATCTTTAAAAATAAAAATAAAATAAAATGCCAGCAACCAGAACTCACCAACAGACGACTGACTTAGGTAGCCTGAACTGAAAATGAATTAATTACAGTTACACAGTCACGTGGCTTATCTGTATAACATGAGGATAAGAGCAAGACACAGAAAAAAATACAAACTACAATTCTTTTACATTATGAAAACCAAGAAAAATCAAACAATAGGCTTATTTCAGGGGTTCACAGATGTTAAATTAAAAAAAGGAAAGGTATCATAAATACAAAACTTGGCATAGTGTCTACCTCTTGGCTGGGGCATTGGAGGGTCTTAAGAAGTGCAAGGATTCTTCCCAAACTGAATGGCAGGGACACATATGAACATTTACTACTCTTTTTTTTTTTTTTTTTAAAGATTTTATTTATTTATTTGTTAGAGAGAGAGCGTGAGCACAGGCAGACAGAGTGGTAGGCAGAGGCAGAGGGAGAAGCAGGCTCCCCGCAGAGCAAGGAGCCCGATGTGGGACTCGATCCCAGGACGCTGGGATCATGACCTGAGCCGAAGGCAGCCGCCCAACCAACTGAGCCACCCAGGCGTCCCCATTTACTACTCTTTAGATGACATATTATGTACATTTTTTCATATCATGGCATAGTTCAAAATTTGAAAACATTGAAGAAGTTAACCAGAATTTTGGTCCACTAGTGGTCCAGTGACCATGGTGGCAGATTATCCTTCTGTGCCCTCCACTGTTGTGAGCCATATTTTAAGAAAGACAACACTAAATCAATCCAGGAGAAGTGGCACTGCAACTTAAAAGGGCCATTTGAGAAAGGTCTTCAGGTATAGGGAGCACTGTACGTGAAAGAAGAACCGGACTTAGTTCTTGTGTTCTGGATCCCCAGTAAATTTAAAACAACAGATTTCTGTTACAGAGAAGCAGACTTATGCTCAACATAATAATCAGAGATTGCTGTAATGGGATGAGCAATTTCAAGTTTTGTTTAACATTTCCCACACTGACATTGTTTAAATAGAGGCTAGATGGCTATGTAGGAAATCAACAAAAGATTCATGCTTTAAAATTAGTCTGGATGACTTCAGTAGTTAGACAATTATACTTATGTCCAAGCACAGTGTATAAAGACATGTGCTAAATACAGTATTAAAACATCATCAGTTTCACTCATGATTGCACACAGTGGGCTACGGTCAGAATCCAAATAGGGCTGAGGATGGGCTCTCCACACTGGTGACTGCCTAGGAACCTCACGCCCACCTGCCATGGCCAGCAGTGGGGGCAGGCTTCGTCCCCCTCTACAATTCTTCTCGAAAGCCACTGGAGACTAAATGGAGGGATGCCACAGATGCCTACAACAAAGAAGAGGAAACTAATGACCCATCCAACTGAAATAATGAAGCACACACAACTCTTCCAATGGCTTGCAAAGCCAATGGAAGTAATTCAGAAATATCAGATGAGCTTTATAAAGATACCAACTCCTAAGACCCATGTCTGAGGAATCGGATTTTAAATGCTTGCTTAGGTGACTCTGCTAAGCAATGGGTTTTTAGTTATTGTTCTGCAGAATAGTAGTTATTCATTTAATAAATATTTTAGTACTTGGTACTGCCAGGCACTGTTCTAGATATTGGTGTTCTAGGTATCAGTGATCTATCAGTGAACAGAACAGACAAAAATCTTGGCCCTCATGGAACTTATATTCTAGTAAGAAATTTTTGTTAGTTAACAGTGCATGCAAGTTCTTCATTATATGTCTTTGTTTCTTCTCTCTCATGGTATGAAACCATTCACCAAATCTTCAAACATGCCAAATACACTAAGACATCCAAATGCCTTTCTCTTGTCTATAATATCTCTGGACTTAGCTCAAGCACTCTGTCTCTACAGAGCCTCCTCTGATTTCCCCATAAGACGTTTTCCCCTATTACCGTTGCCTGTACCACTTTCTATTACAACCCACAACTAGACCATATTCAATACATGTATATAGAACAATGAAAGATCATAATTTTTGGCCAGACACTTCAGATTACAAGTTAAAATTTTCCAGAGTGTGTTAAAATAAAACAAAACAAAAACTTCGGTTTTCTCCCATTGTCCAAAATTACATCATCATATTAAATACGAAGCCTAGGAAAATATTTTAAATATTAAGTTTGCACAGGTATAGATGAAGACAAAGAATTGTTCTCTGCATCCTTCTTCCAATCAAGAGCCTATTTCTTCTTCCTGCCATTTATGACTCTGTATGCTAACCCAAACAAGATTCTGGAATTTTTATGGATCTAAAATTCATTCTTCTTCACTGGAGTTATATCAATGTAAAATGAGGCTTTCTAAAGAAGAAAGAGTAAACAGATAGTAATCACATGACCATCAACTCACCACACAGAATAGCTTTTGCAGAAGACAGGGGATTGACTCTGGGGCGGGGGGGAGGGGGTGATGTTGATCCAACGTGGTTTAAAGAGTATAGAGGAAACATTTCTTCAATTGAAAATATTTAAAGTAGTTTTTACCAGTTGACCCTACTTGCTTACCCTGGGGTCAATCATATAACCATTCTAATGTTGATTTCACTAATACTACCTTTCCAATGCTAAATGCCAGATCCCATAGCTGTGATTTATTGTATATTTCTTAACAATCCTCTTGTATCTGACTCTTAAGCACTTTTTCCTTCCTTGGCTTCATGGAATCACTTTCTTGATCTTCTCAATACATCTATGACCATCTCTTCTCAATTCTAGAATTTTTTTCAAGATCCCATCCTTCAGTGAAAAATATTCCACAAGGTGCTGTTTACAACCCTATTACTACTCATTTGCTTATATATGACTTCCACATTTCTCTCTTCAATCTAAGTCTATTTTTCTGAATTCTAGAGCTAGGACTGCTAGATCTCTGCATCTGGGTCTCCCACAAGCTCATAAAAATACAGTTGTCTCAAATGGAAACAAGTGATTTCAACAGTGAACATGGTCTTGTTATGCTTCTCTGTATCATTTAGTGGCTCTACCATCCACCTTTCCTGTCAAGCTATAGTCCTAAAAATTATGCTGGGGTTTTTCTCCTTTGTATATTACCTTTGCCACAATATATCTAACCAGGGAACAGATCTCGAATACATTCTTACAGTGACTTCTTCACTAGTCTCCTTGAATGTAAATTTATCCCTAATCTCTATCTCTATCTTCCACATGACTACCAATGTTTGGATTCTGGCTCCACCTCTTGGCAGCTATGCATCTTTGAGAAAAGCTACTCAACCTCTCTGAACCTCTTGTCTGTCATCTGTGAAAAGGAGAGCAATATATAAACCTCTTATGCTTGTAAGGAGAAATCAAAGTTATAATGCATGAGAGATGTTTAGTTGATACCTGGTAGAAAGCAAGTCATGGATAAATGTTAGCTAGCTATCCTAGCACTCTGGTACCTAAAATTGAATGCCCTGAATCCCATACAATCGAACTCTTGCCTTTTCTATCACTCCCTCCAAAGTCTGAGTAGTATCGAATAATTTGCAGCTTTTCATACAACACTCGTTCTCTTCCATGGCGGGGTCTCTGCAGAGGACGTTCCTTTTGTCTAAGTAAAGGCTGCTTTGCTTTCTAGAATGACTAGAAAAACTATTAGTCCTTCAAAGCCCTGAAACATCCCAAAAAAGAAGCTGGTCAGTGTCATTTCTGAATTACATTCTCTCATCTAAATTTCCCACTTTCCATACAAGGTGCTTAGAGTCTCCTTTGATCATTTAGTGGACGATGTAGTTTCTTGGCTTCACCTGAGGTTCTTGTGAAAGCCCAGGTTCCAGGACCCCAACACAATCTACTGAATCTAAAACTTCAGGGGTGGGCGCAGGAAACTGCATTTTTATTTTGCCACCAAGGTGATTCAAGTACCCTAATTTCAGATACACATAACTAAGTGATCTTCTGTATAACTATTTTCACAGGTAAAAAATCACTACTGTGCAAGCGCTTATACTCACCTGAGAGCAAAAAGGTAAATGTAACCTTGAAACCCTGGAAGGTATTTTCACCATCACTTTTAAAGTGAATCACCAATATGTTATTAGGACTGAATATTGGAGTAAAGTTCAAGATTCCACAAAATTTAGCTGTCAGTTTTAGGGATGTTTGATTAGTTATAATTTTTTTTTTAAATCAGAAAACAGAGGTAAAACATTATCCAATTAATTTTTCCCAGCAATTCTGGTTGTCTTCAATTTTGGTTTATAGGCACACCTTTCCATTTCATGTGGGAATTGCACATTTGTTTCCAGATAACTATGTCGTGTAATTTTATCTCACAGAAGAACACTCTACAGATAGGGTAAAGATATCTGATTTTTAGTATGCATAGAAACTCCAACTGATTAATGTACACAATGAGAAGAGGTGAGTAAAAATCCAAAACGTGGTATTCCTCTTTCCAAACAGAACATGGCTACACTTCAGGTGAATAAGCACCGCCGGCAAGCCACTTCACCCAGAGCCCACCCTACACAGCTCCCCTTCTGCTGGATGAGGGGACTCTGTCTCTACTCACCTGGCTTGAAGATGCAAACAAACATTCCCAACCCACCTGCATTCCCGGTCTCCAAACCACACCAACACTTAGCTAAGGGACAGACAGTAGGTATTAAGGAAACGGCTGTCCATCTGGAAGATCATTTTTTAGATTCAGTAAATTGGTAGGTCAGAAATGAAAGTGTACTTGCAGTTTTAGGTCCAAAAATGAACTTTAAAGACTGAAGTAGTAGTTATAGCTTTGGTTGCTTCTTTTAGTTACTTTTCTTGGACATAAAAATATCATCAATTGAAGAGATTTACACAGAAAGGAGTTAGAAAATTTACCTTCAATAACTACCAAAAATGTACTCAGTGCCGCAGTGGGAAAAGTTCACCTTCCAAATATTCTGAAACATTCTCTGCATTTTGCATGTTCCTATTAAAAACCTCACTGGTGAATCCGTTGTTGGCTCGTGGGTTAAAGCTAAGGTTTTCTGACACATGAGTTTCCAGCAAAAGAAATCCTCTTTCCCGTTTGACTCTGTGGCACCCAAGGAAGATAGTAAGTGTTGCAAACACTCTCATGCTTTTCAGATGGAACGTTACCCACCTAACTCGTGCTCCTCTTCAGGATCACCGTAAGTCACAACCACATCATAAACACAGTTTTGGCTAAATTCAGTGATAAAGTCCTCAAATTCCAATTGTACAAATTAGAAACATAACCAGAGAATTGGTCAAGGATCAGATGCAATAAATTTTAAAAGCTTCCCTCTGTACATGAAAAGGTCCTCAGTTACCCCCTCCTATTCCACTAATAGAATAAGTCATTGCAGTCTCTTTGGAAAGCAATTTGGCAAGGACTCTGAGGTTAAAACGTACAAGCTCTTTGACACAGAAAGTCCACCTCTGGGAATTACATACATCCACATGTGCCCAAAAACACTGACACAGGGATGTACTAGCATTGTTGGTATGGACAAAGACTAGAAACCCACCAAGTGATAGTAGGGAACTGGCTTCAGAAATGATGGAGTATCACACAACAGAATTTTATGCAGTTGTTCAGAAGAGCTCTGTGGATTCATCTGGAAAGATCTTTGGGATATTTTTTAAGGAGAAAAAGCACTGTTAAGCCATATAAATACATGCATGTCTGTAAGGGCTCAGCATCTCTCTCTAGGGATACTCGGGATACTTAACCAGTGTTTGCCACCAGGAGGCAGGATGGGAGTTAGAGGAGAAGGGAGCATACTTCCTGTTGCATTCTCTCTTCAACCGCTGAAATGTTTCAAACAACATATATAGATCTGTATATAGAACCACAGATGTGGCCCATGGAAGTTCCTAGACATAGTGGCCTTTTGCAAGCCCAGATGAAGCAAGTTCTGCCTAACCAACACAGCTAAGCTCTGGATGAACTGTACAGAGCTTCCTTAGTCGCTTACCGTCATCATGTGTTTCTCTGGAGCATGAATGAAGCAATGACACCTTACACGTGTGGGATACAAGTCAGGATAATCGGCAGAGTGAACTGTCCTTCCTTCCACCAGTGTAGCCACACTCCCCCAGCCTGAGCCTGTTGGAAGGTCAGGGAACTTCAAAGTGAAGGGCCAGAGGCATTCCCTCTTCCTTACCTCCACCTCAAATAAAAACGTCAGGGAATTAGATTTGAGACGCCTGCTCCTGAGTTCTTCTGTATGGCAGTAAAGGTCAGCTCAAACCTGCTGCCATTGTTTCCTGTCCTAGAAACAAATGTAACTGTGGCCTCATTGGTCTCTGTCAGCAAGGATGGAGGCAAAAGACCTCCACAGACCTTACCTTAAAAGGAAAAGGGATTGAAATAGCATTAAGATGGCAGCAGCTTATATGTGTTTTCCTGATATTATCTGACGGGAATTCTCTGTTCTCAGCACACCAGACTATTTAGTGTTTACTTTAATTTTCCCCACACTCTCTGTGTCAATGATTTTATATTCCATTCGCTTTCTCAAACTCAATCTCCTATGTCTAAATTCTACTCATCCTTCAGGGCCTGACATGAAGTCCAGTTCTCATAAATTTCCCAAACTCCCAATGTGTTAAGAGCTACATTTTCTGAATCACCACAGCACATTTCCTGTACTCTGTCATTTCCTACTTTATGGTACACCTGTAGTTAACTCGTCAGATGGCAATTAGAGCAGAGACTGTTTTTACTCTCTACATGTGTAGGGCTTGATATAATATCTGGAACCTAGTTGATTCTTAACAAATGATTGGTTGAAAGAATGGTTACTAGGTAAATAGCAGGCCTGGAGTGTGAAATCATTTACTCAACCAGTCTTATAATCCTTAGCACAATACCTAATCTATAACACCCTGTCAGTTTGTGAAGAGATATTTGTCCTTACCACTGGCCTTTGCTGGAGATCAAGTTCTATTATTGGCTCTAGAGACTCTGTATCAAGATGCTTAACATCTTTCAATTAAAGTTATTAATTATGCTTACAGTTTATAAGATGTATCCCATAAATGACCTGAAATGATCTACTGTCATGAGAGAAAAGAACATTATAAAACAATGTGAAGTTCAGTGTGTATGTTAATACACATAAATTAATACACACTACCTCAAAATGTTAACAGCACTTATCTCTAGGTGGCAGGATTATTAATGGTTTACATTTTCTTCCATTCACTCATCTCTCTACCAAATTTGGCAAACATGATCCCACTTTTGTGATGAAAAACAAAAAAGTAGATATTGCCTTGAAAGGAAGTTTTGGAATGTTGTGAGATCGATGTTATTGAACTTGAGAAGGGAATAGAGAAAGCTCAGCCAGTATGTGGGTCATCAGTTCCTCTCCTACCACACACACACACACACACACACTCCTTCCAGAAAGGGACAGTATGGAAGATGTCCTAGGGGCAGAAAACTAACTTCAGGTCCCTCTGCCCATCTTTGGTTGCTTAAATACTCTAACATGACAAGTAAAAATAAATGTAACATACGTACTAATAAGCACTCCATTGCTCGATTGTAAAGATATATAGTCATGGTCACATCCAATTTGATTTTGTATGTCTAAGCTTGTAAATTTTACCAGGATAATTTTATTTTCTGGTACGGTTATTCTCCACACACATAAGCTAGATAGGGAAGGCAGAGAAAGTGTAATAAACGGCACAGTCGAGTGGGACAACTAAGATCTAGTATTTGGGCTTTAGCTCATAACTTACCAATAACAAAATTTTAAAGGCTATTAGAAGATAAAAGGCAAAGGAAATCCTTATGTGAGAATAATTTGATTATGCTCAAATTGCTGGCATTTATCCAACAAATAGAGGGGTTAATTAGAAATCACCAGAAACCACCCTTTAACTTTCATTCAGTTAAATACTAGAATTTTCACCTATACATTGAGGAACCCAAGATTCATCTCTTTGTTCTAAGTTAGTAGTCTAATTGAAAATTCATAATTTTCACCCAGAAGTTGAATTATGCATCATGAATTATGGATTGACCAAGCAGCATATGTTAAGTCTAACCAGTCACATCCTCCAAGGTCAGCCTGGGTCACGGTCTCTGTGGTTGCCATGTCATCTCTCTAACTCCCGGTAAGGTCAGCTGTGACCTTTTACTAACATCTTTAGAAACATGTCTAAACATTCTGAAAGTAGTCTTAAATGATTTAACACATAATCCTCTATTCTCCTTCATGAATTCACATTATTAAAAAAAAGAAAGCCCAGCAGACCATAAATCCTTGGTGTCTTCCATGCCTCACATTCATCTGAGTGCAAAGCGATCATACCTGGAATTGAACACATCAGAACAAACTTCTAAAACCTGACATTCTTTTTCAACCACTTCAGACCTGTTAACAGTCTCACTCCCCTCTAAGTAATAATGTTCAGGATATCAGCAATTATCCAACTTTTTAACGCCCAGTTTCTAAAGATCAAATGCAATAATTCTTACTAAATATCTCCTCCCTAACCAGAAACTCCCTGCTTGCTTTTTCTAGTTCATCATTTTGAACATCAGTGTAAAAAAGAGGCTGCCTAAAATATTATTTTTAAAAAAATCACTCTTTAGCACTTCAATTTAGAAAGCAATAAGCGGTCTAGAATATTATAAAGCTCAATTTTTCTTTGATACTTTAATTGAGAAAGCAGTCCACATCTATCATCATTCTTGAGATTCATTATACCCCTGTGAAGTGGGCAGGGAGAAAGTACTCCCCCTCCTCAAAATAAGAAAACTGTCATGATCTTAAAAGACTCATCACACCTCACATGTAATAGGAAATACAGTTTGGGCTTTATGGCTTTAAAGGCAAGTACTTTCTCCCATTCCAAACCTCTACCTCAAAGATAGAAAACAGATTTCAAATCACCTGATTTATTGTTAGTGACTGTTGTGTTAAAAAGGATTCTGAGATCTAGTCAAGCTAAGTGAGAGAGGGGGACCAACAGTAAGCATTGATTTACCTATTCAAATATTTATTGAGCATTATTATATACCAGGCACTGTTCTAGGCTCTAAGATATGCAATGTCTCCCATGGGCCTGGAAGGAGGGAGACCACCTGAGTGTTGTGTATCTGCCATGTCTGAGAATTTAGCTACCACCTAACAGAATAAATATAGGCTTGGAGAAACTATAACTCCTTGCTCCTTCTTTGCATTATCTGTTTCTAACTTACCATTAATTAACTCCATCTGGAATTAAACCTTCTACCATTCTCCAGGCTGCTTTGCATAATGCAGGAATCACTAAGTATGCAAAATGATTCCCTATCTTATTACATTCTAAAGCACATTCCCCCCCACACTTGAACATTCTAAAATCAGAAGGATCTTACAGTGGAGTCTTACAGTTCTGTTAGTTCTGATGGAAATGGTTCTTCCAGAAAGAAATTATCTTTGATCAGTCACTCTGAAGCACTGTCAACTTCATGCTACTGAATTTTTCTGCTTGAGGTGTTTCAGACTATACTGGTGGTGGACATTATAGACAACAGACCTGCATAAGTATTAGTTTGTGATTCGAACTCTCAGAGAAGATTTTTACTGCTCCCTACATCCAGTGTCAAGGTTTGAGGCATGTAACTTTCCACATGGGCAGGACTATGCCTTGTTTAGTCTTACACTGAAGGTATAGTCTTTGGTGTCCTGTCTTTATATGGAAATCTCCTAATCTTGGGTATTTTTTATTTCTTTATTGATACGTAAAATAGCAATGAATTTTACAACCAGTTTGTTTTAGATGTGCTGAAATACAGCATAAATTCATGCTAATACTGAGTTGTGAAATTACTGAAATTCTTATTCATCTCTTGTTGAAACTTGATTTGAGTCCTTACATGCTATTACAAATCTTAACTATTTAATCTCACCTATATCCTCTAAACTTGAAGCAACTAAAACCTTATAACATCCAAGAAGGCATTTAGTGTACATTTATTTAACTTTCCTATAGGTAACCTGAAATTTTTTTTGTTGCTTTCCCAGGAGAGTAATTATTCACCTTTTTTTCAAAGTTAAACCTTCCTTATTTGTTGTGTTCTCACGAAACTTCCTTCACGTATTTATACATTTCTCTTGACTCCTCTCCCTTACTCTCTCTTCTGCTCGTACGTGCAGTTAATTCTAACCCATTCTTCCCCAGAACAAAACAAAACAACAAAACAAAACCAAACCCTGCTTCTCTTGAAACCTGTCCTACTACTCAAAAGCCACAGTTACATCTTCCTCTTTCCCTTCACTGTTAACTGTCTTTTTCATCAAAAACAATGGCAGCTCCATCTCTCCAACAGGTCAAAAACCCTCATGTTAATCACAAGGCTCTCTCTCTTACAACCCATATTTTCAACTCACTATCAAATCCTGTGGACCCACCACTTTTCACCACCTCTACTGTTACAAACCTGGTCCCAAGCCACCACACTTCCTTGGACTATTGCAGTAACTAGTCTTTCAGCTCTTAGCCTTTCCCATCTAATGTTTATTTTCAATAAAGCAGCCAAAGATCCTTTTTAAATGTGTCAGGTCATGTTCCTCATCTGCTCAACATCCTCCAATGGCCATACATCTTACAGGGAAATCCTATGTCCTTCGTATGTCCTGTAAGTTTGATCATGCCAACCATGGCCACTTCCCCCCTCTCACTTAGCTCTAGCACTCTGATCCAACTCTTCCCCAAATATACTAAAAGTTTTCCTTCCTCGCACATGCCGTTCCTTCTGCAAAGAATGTTCCTTCCCAAGATGACCTGTATGACTCCCTCCCTCACCTTATTCAAGTCTTTGTTCAAATATCATCTTTCTAGTGAGGTTTTCCCTGACCACCTTCTCTAATATTACACTACCATCCCTCTTTCTTTCTGTGTTTTTCTGCATAGCACTTACCACTTCTTACTATTATTTAATTTTGGTTACTATAGTTACTTACTATTACTTAATTAATGACTTGTACTACCCCCATTCTCCACTTTCCAACCTGCCCCGCAAAGGAAGTATTTGTGTTTCATTCACTGCTATATTTCTAGCACCTGAAACAGTGCCTGACACATCATAAAGCTTTGATAAAAATGCTTAGACTACTTGGTGAAGGAAAGATACCAAGTCTTCAACAATCGCTTAGCCAATTATGAATATAGCTCTTAATCCTATAAATCTACTGAATTAGCCGCTAAATTTTGAATGGCCATATCCAATGGCATTTTATCTGACCTCATTTTTTAAAAGATTTTATTTATGTATTTGACAGAGAGAGAACACGAGCAGGGGGAGCAGCAGAGGGAGAGCAAGAAGTAGGCTCCCCGCTGAGCAGGGAACCCCACGTGGGACTCAATTCCAGGATCTCGGGATCATGACCTGAGCCAAAGGCAGATGCTTAACCGACTGAGCCACCCAGGTGCCCCTATCTGACCTCACTTTGACTTCTGCAATAGCTAACACTAATAACAAACTCCTTTTGCTTTGAAAGTCTTTCTTGCAGAAATCTCTTCAATACTTCATTGTCTAAGCTGAACTGCAGGTTCTCTGTGTTTGAGGGTAAACTGGCTGCCATCTGCAATCTCTTAACCTAATGTATCAGTACTTTCTAGAACTTCACCCACAGCCATCCATGCTCTTTTCAAATATCTACTTATAAATGAAACTCATTACTCCTGAAGAAGGCCATTAAGTCTCGGAGATCTCTCAAGTTGGAAATTACTGTATTTAGCTTGAAATCTGCTTCCTCCTAACATCTGTAGTGGTTCCTCGGATTAAGTTCCTTCCTCATCTCAAGTCTTCTTTGGATCAAAATCACCAAGATATTGTTTCAAATTCCTTTCCATCTTGGCCATTGTCCTTCAGACAATTTCCAGCTTATCAATGCCCCTCTCTAAAGATTGTACCTGAAGACCCCTCCCAACTCTCCCTACCTAGGCTCTAATAAAAGAAGACTCTCACTCTTATTCTAGATGCTATTTTTCTAAAAGTTTAAGAAAAGATGGCAAAGGCTTTATTGGTATTATATTATTAGTAGGTTGATGCACAGAAAGTCAACTTACACTTTTAAGACATTTAAATATGGGCCTCAATTAAGCCATATCATTTCCTCTGTATACTTATAACAAGTATTTGCAGTCCAGTCTTTATACATTTATTTATAAATTATAATCATGCCACCATTTTAGCTCCCATTGCCTGTGGCAAAAAGTCCAAACTTCTTCTCATGGAATTTAAGGTGCTCTATAATTAAGTCCTAACCAGCCTTTTTATCTTCATTGTCCACTGCCACACTAGTTCTTATTTATGCTGGGACTGCTATCCAGCTGCCTGTGATACACATTGTCCAAACAACTGTAATTTTCTCCATCTCCCTGATATTACTCACACATAACTCCTTCTGCCTGGCATGATCTGTTGAAATCTAGATACCAGAGCTACAAAAGACTTCATGAGCTACAAAACTGTAACTACCCTTCAATGACTAGTTTCAATTCTACCCCTTCACTAACACATTCCTACCACCCTCCCAACCATAGTATAAACACACACACCAGACAAACCACTGCAATGGGACTTAGCCTCTCCATTCTCCATAACAGCACCTGACACATGGGTAGTATGCATTATAAAGCTTATCTGATCGTGTTTTATAGTATAGTTCTTCCTATCCAGCTCTTCCTTCTTTCCAGATTATAAACTCACAGATCTGTGATCTACCTTTGCACACCTTTCAATGTTCATACAAGATTTGAAGTTAATTCACAACACTTGAGGAAATGAAGTACTTGCAAAACTTATTTCTAAAGCTTAACGATTTCTTCAGCCAGAGAGGGAACAGATTATGTAGAAAAAGTTTAAAGACACTGAAGCTTATAGATCATGAGCTATTTTCCATCTTCTAGGCAACACTTAACATTACCATTATTACAGCAATAAGTAGGAATGTTGTATATTTGAATACATCAATTCAGGTAAGCTCCAGTCTTAATACTACTCGTGTTGATGGTTCATATTAGTGGATATCAGAAATATCCATCAGCAAATACTTCCCAACTAGAAAATATCAGATGAAATATATAGACTTTTATGTTAATCAGGTTGAGAAATTGAGATACTAGGTACAAATGCCAAAACATACCCATTAAAGACCTGATTTGGGGGGAAACCCAAGACTCATTCCTACCTTGGACACATACCAATTACGAGAAAAGCTTCTCTCTTTGGAATGGGGGTAACGAATCTTGCCATTTTCTCCAAATAACACGGTTCCTTGAGATCTACAAGCTTTCAAAGTGTAGAAAAAAGTTGATCACTTACCTCAGCTATGAACAGAATTTCAAGACATATGGTACACAGTCAGATTGAAGCTGTGTAATTTATATAATTTATATTTATGGGAACACATGTTTTTAGATGTTATGACCTCAGACTTCACTGAGAAAATTTCTCTAAGTTCTTCAGATTTAACATATCTTTATCCAGTTTTCAAAATCATGAGTCATATTGAGGCTTCAAATTCATTGTATATGGAACTAATATGGTTTTTTCCTCCATCTCTCACTAGGATATTCTGGGTTATAATAAAATACCTATGTAGAAAAATACTAAAGTAAAAGTACACAAATTTTAGCAATGATGTGGCAAGCTTCTATCATGCACTCAGAAATTTCAGCTTCCAGGGTCACATTCTAATTACTGGAAGCTAGAAAAAATAAGCAACTATGGGATGAGAAGCTTAGAAAGAAGATGTCAAGGAAGTGTTATTTAAATAAATCGTCACATTCTGCTATTCATTTTATTGTGGAATTAACTGTTACTGGCTGATTTCATTGCCCTTTTAAAATATTGTTATCATTAACCTTTGTTCAGGGCTTGTTAATCTTTTTAACCTTCTCTTCCATGTGATGAAAACTGAACAGAATTGCTACCAGGAGGGAATTTCCCTGTGCAGTTATGACAACGAACAGAGCACTTTCACTCTGATGCCCAAATGAGAGCCAGTGGTGAGCCTGCTCTAGTGGTGTTCAGCTGGACCAGTCACAGTGGTGCTTCTCGAATCATCGGCAAGGTAGCTGATTGTGGACGACAGTGAGGGAGCGCTGGTGGGATAGAGAGAACATTAGGTTCTGACACTCTGGGTTCTGGCCTTGTAAAAAGCTGGTTCTCATACTCAGCGGCTTGTTCTTGTTAATCATGTGTCCTCACGTCTCTATTCTACGGAGGCTGCCCCTGGGCATTCCTTGCATGGGTGTCGCCACTTTGTATGGCACACCTTCTGGTCCCCCGGGACTGAGCTCCTCAGAGCTCTCCTCGATGCTCAGGCGTTACCTTTGTCACATTGGTCAATTTACTCCTTTGTCTTCCCAAATAGCAGGGAAGTTCCTTGAGGACAGGTTTGGCATCTCTTGACCCACATTTGTTTTTCTAATCTAGATTTTAGTGTTGCAAAACAAAAACAACTCTCCAAAGCCTCCCTTATTTTCGCCACTGTTGTCAAGTAAAATTAACAAAGGTGAATGGGAGAAAAGGGAAAGGAGTCATTTATTTTTAGTGTCCTAAACTAGACACAAATGTAGTGATCCGAAGGGGCACGTGCACGTGTATAGCAGCAATGTCCACAATAGCCAAACTAAGGAAAGAGCCTAGATGTCCATCAACAGATGAATGGACAAAGAAGATGTGAGAGATATATATATATACATACACACACACACACACACACACACACACAATGGATTATGCTGCCATCAAAAAAACCAAACTCTTGCCATTTGCAACAACTTGGATGGAACTAGAGGGTATTATGCTGAGGGAAATAAGTCTATCAGAGAAAGAATTATTATATGATCTCACTGATATGAGGAATTTGAGAAACAAGACAGAGGATCATAGGGGAAGAGAGTAAAAATGAAACAATATGAAACCAGAGAGAGATACAAACCATAAGAGACTCTTAATCTCAGAAAACAAACTCAGGGTTGCTGAAAGGGGGATGGTGGTGGGAGGAATGGAGTGGTTGGGTTATGGACATTGGGAAGGGTATGTCCTATGGTGAGAAAAAAAAATTTAAAAAGATAAACTAATTTAGAGAAAAAGATATGTCAGCTGGATAAATGAAGAAAGAACCCTTCCTCGATGGTTATTTTTTAAATGTTATGAATACAAAAAAACCCAAAAAACTACATGAACATAAACTTGAAGATCCAGGTTATGTCCAAGTTGAGTTTAAGTTAAATTGAAAGTTATCAGTTCTCATGAATTTAGAGATTTAAATTCATATATATTGGATTAGGAATTGAAAATCAGACATATTTGTGCTTTTAGAACCTAGTTCTATTGTACCTGCAACATACCAGAGTAACTACCCTTGATATAAGCATTTGATTTAGAATGGAAGGATGAATTCACAGAAATTACACCTACCTGTGAATATGTTCTGAGTGACAAAATCCATCAACTCAAACACCTTGGAGAAAATGCCCAGCGATGCCCTTTTATGGTTTTTTCTTAAAGAAGTCCAATCTCTAGTCCAACCAGCTCTCCAAGAACTTATCCCAATAAGGACTCAGATTCCACTGTCTCTTCTACAAACAAATGGACCTCCAGAGTCTCCCTTTCATAGCACAAAAAAAGAAAAAACTTGAAAATATTCACAAGTTAAAAATATTTTAGTAGGCCCACAAACAATAGCACTCATCTCAAAGAGAAAAGTAGTAGAGACATAGATACCCACTGGTTACTGTCCATCAATGTTTTTTTTTGGTCCACCTTTCTGTCTCTTCACCACTAGTTTCAAGGTACAGTCTTTTTGCCCAGATGTAACTTCTTTCCAATCAGTGTCTGCAATCTTGTCAAGCTACCATTTAACTTCTCTCTTGCTCCTACTTGTTTTGGGAACAACCATGTACATTCCAAACCACTGGAAGGAGCAGGGGGAGTTTACAGAACAGTTTTTCACTCTAGTTTGTCACCTGGAATTGCTGGGAAAGACTGGGTCATATCCAAGCCTATAGCACCAGTGAATAGAATCCCCAAGTTCATGCAACAGCTGAAGGCTTTGAGAACAGAACAGAAGCCTAACTTTGTCCCAGGGGCTACTTGTAAAGGACTGCTGGCTCTTGGACTAGAGGATAAAGAACCCATGATTTTAGGATCCTTTAATAATCCTTCAGAATCATGTGTTGCTCTGAGAACACGTGTCAATTCTGTATCCATTAAACCCTCTTCAAAAGGCACAGGATCGTTTGAGGGCTTAATCCAAAAAAAAGACGGTCTCCCAGGGAAGCAGATAGGATAGAGCACCATTAAACTACTTGGGTTCCAATTCAGAAAGTGGCATAATTCTAAATTGCTGTCTCCTCCCTTCCAAACTCTTCCTGGTCCCTGTCCTATTATAGCCTCCCACCTGCAAACCCTCTTCCCCAGAACAAAAGTCAAAATTTTTCCAAAAGATAATTTTAGGGAGCTTCCCATAGCAGTTCCAAGCCGCTTGCTCCTCCAGTTTTGTTTTGTTTCGTTTTTATGTCTTTCCAAGTAAATTGTCATCTCCATCTAAAACTTAAAATGCCTTTCACCAATTAGTCTCCCTTTCCCTTCTCTGTCTTGTGAAGATCAGTCTTCTTGGTAAGTTGGTATGTCAGCCTTGGGAGGTCATTCATATGTTTTATCCAACCATTACAATAGTTACGCCATCTATGGTCAAATTTTGTGCAAGCATCGCATTCTGCCTTAAAGGCTTAAAAAAAATCACAATGTTTATCAAAAGGTGGAATAAAAAATAATTCACAGATAGACCTAATTTTGCCAAAGTGCTCTTGTTTCCTTCCATTAGGTTGGAAATGTTGAAACCAACTCCCCTGCATTCCTTCCCTCCCTTTCTCCAAAAAGAAGCATGGGGATAAGAATGGGCACGGAACAGGAAAGAATGCTCTCAGGCCAGGTCAAGTAAACTTTTTCAGTAGAAACATGGTAGAAAGACGAACAAAAAAAGAATTCTGAAGCAGTAATTCTGCAAAAGCAACTCATGGGGAAAGGCAGAATCCACTATTACCTATATGATACTGAATAACCAGGCTGACTGATATATTTTACCTGGCAGGCATCCTTTTTCCCATCTGGACACCTGGCACACATCATTGTCCTTCCCAGAAGAGGAAAGTTCATATGCTTGAGCACACTATTACACATTCTGTCATCCATGAGGGGAAGTTCTACTTCTCATAGGACGTTTGAATATTCTGATGCTGTGGAGACAGTCTGATAAGTTAGACAACCATTGTTCTCACTGAAGTTTCCCCAAGAGGGAAACTTTTTCGTATTTTGTGAAATACTTTACCGTAAAAAAAAAAAAAAAAAAAGAAAAAAAAAGAAAAAAAAAATCACAACATTAAAGACAAGTAAGTTTAACCATTGTTACTATTTTCTGATTATCCTTTTACTGTATTCTTCTTCATTTGTCATAATTACTGCTAGTTTTCTTTTTCTGACACACTTAACCAAAATGGCAGCAGGAGGAGTTTTGTGTAGAGCCTTAAGCGTAGTCATTTTTATGGAAGACAACCAGAAATTCTCACTGGATCATAACTTGGGGAAAACAAAAGCAAAACAGAATGAATGGATTACTCATGGCCAATAAAACTCCTGCTTCTCATGGACAAAGAAACTTGGAAGAACTACTATTGTTTCCTTTTGATGCCCCTTACTCTCTGAGATCTTGCACCATCCACTGGTCATGCAAAGAATCCCTGCTTCAGATTTCTCATCTCTATGGGGAGGACAGATTGGCTGAACAGCAGTTCCTGGAAAAACAACAATAACAGAAAATTATAAGGCTCATAGATAGACAAGTCTTGAATATATTTGGAAAAGGGATATCCAGTTAATTTCATAGCTTCTATACTCTCTCCCTAAATGTAATATTGACATATATATATATATTTTTAAAGATTTTATTTATTTATTTGACAGAGCAATAGAGAGCACGAGTAGGCAGAGCGGCAGACAGAGTGAGAGGGAGAAGCAGGCTTTCCACTGAGCAGGGAGCCCAATGAGGGACTCCATCCTAGGACGCTGGGATCATGACCTGAGCTGAAGGCAGAGGCTTAACTGACTGAGTCATCCAGGCGCCCCTGACATATATATTAAAAAAAAAAAAAAAAACAACTCTTTCATATTTATAGAAATTTAGAAAAAATGCAGAAAAAGTAAAACAAGGAAGACCATAATCCAGTGTTATATGTACCACCATGATCTTCCAAAACTATTAACATTTTAGGGTAGACCCTTGTTCTTAAAAGATAGTTTTCCCTCAGAGTAACTGAGTCCTACTTCGTGGTAAGCCCTCTTCTAGACCTCAGTGAATGAGCAGAAAGATAAATCCCTTACACAAAAGAGTGTATGTTGGGGAAGCAGGCATGCAAACAATAAATAAAATAACTTATTTGGTGGTTAGGTACTATCACTCTGGAAAAATCAGGGTAGGGTAAAGAAGTTCTGAAATCTAGAGATTAGGGGGGATGGCCTGGGAAATGTTATTTGAAATTAATAGTCATGGCAAGTTTCATTGAGCAGATGACATTTGAGTAAAGCCTTGAAAAGCCAAGGGAAGGAACCATGTAGTTATCTGAGCAGAAAGCACTTGAAGAAGAAGAAAGAGAATGGAAAGTCCCACAGTGGGGTCATGTCATATATGCTTGAGGAACAGTTGGCCAGAATGGCCAGAACACATTAAGCAAAAAAAAGTTTAGTGGAAAACACACACACAAACACACACTCACACACATACACAACAGATCAGATGTAGAGCCAGGAAGGCAGAGATGTCAACTGGTAAAGACATTGATTTCCACCTGAGTAGAATGAAGAATCACTGAAGGGTTTTGAACAGAGTGACGTAACTCATATTTCAAAAAGGATCTGTCTGATTGTTGGGTTAGTAATAAACATTAGGCATGCAAAAGAGGAAATTAAAGACAATTTAAGAGACTACTAAAATTAAGCCAGGCAAGAAAGGACGGTAGCCTGGAATAGGTTGCTAAGAGTAGAGAGGGTGAGTCAGGAGCAACAGGACTTTTCTAGGAGAAAGAAGAATCAATGTGAGAGAAAGAGGAATCAAGACCCAGTGCAAAGTGTTTAGTTTGAACACCAGGAAAGATAGAATTTTCATTAATCAAAATGGAAGGCTATGGGTAAAGGAGATTTAGGATGTAGGCGATAATCAAGATGCTGTTTTAACGATATTAAGTTTGAGATGCTATTAGCCATCCAGGTGGATGACCAGTAGGCAGTTAGCTATACAACTACTAGTAATCCCAGCAGCATGTGTAATCTAAAGGAATCTGGACTAGACAGACAATATTTGGGATAGTCTTCACACAGATGGTGTTTAAAGCCTTGATCCTGGATGAGGACACTAAAGGAGTGAGGACAGATAGAGAAAAGCACGCCAATAATAAGAGGTCACAGAGAAGAGGAAGTGTCATCACAGAAAACCAGTAAAGGGTGAAAAAAGAGGTAGAAGGCAAACCAAGGGACTCCTGGAACTCAAATGAAGAAAATGTTTCCAGGATGGTATGAGCAACTCTGTCAAAACTCCTTCAAGTAAGCTGAGGGTTGAGAATTTACCTTTGAATTTAACAACATGGAGGTCAGTGACTAAGACAAGAGCAAACTGGGGGGAGTAAGGGGCGTGAGAGTCTGACTGACTCGGATGTCTAACAGATAGCTCAAACTTAATACATGTAATTATGAGAACTGAGGAGAGGAAATTAACCTCCCTACCATAAACAGAACTTCATAGCTTTTCTATAAAGGGGAACAGAAAAATGGGGCAATAGTTTCTTTTGGTCACAGGTAATAGGAATTCTAGCATTAAACTTGAATGAAGGCTTGCTTATGATTACGGAGCCAAAGATCAAACAAGTAAGTTTCCTTATTCCCTCACTTTATGTGACATATTTCCCCCTTTTTTCCCCCCAACCTTTCAAGCATTACCTGCCGGGAAGTCAGGAGTTACATGGGAGATTCCAACCAGACTCAGTGGGTAAGCCTCTGCCTTCAGCTCAGGTCATGATCTCAGGGTCCTGGGATCAAGCCCCGCTTCAGGCTCTCTGCTCTGCAGGGAGTCTGCTTCCCTCTCTCTCTGCCTGCCTCTCTGCCTACTTGTGATCTCTCTCTGCCAAATAAATAAATAAAATAAAAAGGAATAAAACTTAGCTATTCTAATATTAGTAGATCTATGCACAGAAATTAAAGTTAACTGGTACAGGATTAATAAAACACCATTTTCTCCTACACTTTTTCATGTGCTAACTCCCCTACATACCAAACTCAACTTTGTGTTCTAGGTAGAGCAGTGCAATATCAGAACTCATATGTCCATGTCTGTGGTACTCAGGATGGATAATAATTTTTGAGACAGGACTCTTCTGTTCGTGTACACCCTTCTGGGAGAGGCTGTGTTGCCCAGCAGTCACAGTCAGACTCTTTATTTGCTTCTTAAAACCGAAGAAAAATGTTTCAATAAATATAGCTGTTTCCCCGGGAACGACTGCCTTGGTTTCACATAATTTAAAAGTGATTAGTGTACCTTTAAGCATTTCTAAGTCTTAAAAGGAGATGCACCTTTATTAATGATTACTACCATCGTAATTGCCTATAAATTATAGGGATCTGCGAAAAGTCGTGATTTTCCATCAGAGTGTTTGCGTTCTGTGAACCCTTTCCGCCACCATCAAACGTCTTTCTGCATAAAGTATTTAAGAATGGCCTCTTTTTCTTTTATACTTGTGTACATATGCTCTATCATTTTAAAAAAGATATAAAAATTGTTCCTAGAACTCTCATTATTATTAGTACTCTCAACCTAGCTAAGTATCAGTTATTTCCACAATATTTTTTCCCTCCTAATGACTCAGTTTATTAAAATTTTGGAACATCCATTAAACATTTGATGTCAATACTTCATTAGAACGAGTAATCATCAACTCCACCTCACTACCTACTTTACAAATTATTGAGGCTAATCTGGGATCTTTGGGGACTCTGATTAGTAGAGTAAGAGGTACAGGAAATCTTAAGATAATCCTGATACAAGTTTCTGGGGATCAGGAAGGTCCATGAGTGGCTGGACCAGGTGGAAAAATTCAGAAAGGGACTGAGGTTGAACTTCCCATAGTATTTAGAGCTTCAAATCTTCCAGTCGTATAGCTAGCAATCGAGGTTTGGTAAGAGGATAACGATCATGGAAATCCACAGCTTACTCATTGAGGCCAACCAGGCAGTGTGCTGTGGTAACAACCAGATCCTCCTGGATCAAGCTTCCTCCATAGAAGTGATGCTCACCTGATTTTAGGGAGACCTGCCCAAGAAGAAACGCACGAACATAACTCATATAGGTCTCCCATAGGTATCATCTCCCTTAGAAACACTTGAAATAAACTCTCCTTATATAACCTTAAGTTACCGATATAATTGGTTAGGAAGAAATTTCCTACAAAGTAAACTTTCTGACAGAGAGGTTGAGCAGGGTCAAGAGAAAAATTACGTTTTAACAGCCTGGAGTTGTGATATTTGAAACAAGAAAAAAACATAAGATTTCTCATTAAGAAATCAATGCTTTGGTTATACTGACCCACCACGGATGTCCGCCGACTGTTGAATTTCTCCAACCAGTAACTCTAGGGAAGAACCCAGTTTCCAAGACAGTTTCTGTACTTTTCATATCAACTGCACGGATCCCACACTTCTGTCCTGTGTGGCAGAGAGAGCGTGTGTGCGTGTGTACACACATCCAGAGCAGTTCATGGAAGGATTCACTTGATCAAGATTCCACCTTCAGATTCTCCTGGCCTGGCACGAATGTTCTGATCTCACTCAGCAGCAGGCTACCCCCTTCTTGTCTCAAGACACTCCTGAGACCATCCCACAATTACCCCTTGTTGACTGGAACTGGCTTCAGGACGCGCCCCTGCCCCCCCCGCGACAGTCGCAGCTGCCCTAGGAAGACGTGGGGGGCGGGAGGAGCCAGTCGCCCCACCCCCCCCATCCATTCCCGGGGTACTCCGGGGCGGGCGGGGGAGGGGAGCGTTATAGAATTTAGGGTGTATTAAAGATACTGGAGAACAACATATGCTACACCAGAAAAGAGATATATATTTGACCTTAAATTACTTCTAATTGGCTATTCTTCCGTGGAGAAGGCTCCTTAGCCCAAGTGCCTAAAACCTTGAACTCCAGGATTTAAAGAATCTCCAGAAGAAACTGTTGTGCCCCAGTTTTCGCGTCTGAGAGACCACCAAGGAGCCAAGCACCGATGCAATCACATGAGGGTTTATTTGACAAGCTTAAGCGTGGGCCCAAGTATACCCAACACAGCAGAGTAGGGACTTGGACCCTGAGCCAGATTACAGAGTTTTAAAAGCAGAGTAGGGGTGGACTCAGCGGTGGGTGAGGACAAAGGGGGTGTTCAGAAGGGCTATCAGGGTAAAGAAGACTGTCAGGATATTGGAGGCCTGGTTACTATCAAGCCAAGGCCTTTTTTCCCTTTAATGAGGCACTAGCATGAAGACAATTGGGAGTTTCCTGGTGGAATGTCACATTCTTGCTATCAAGCGTCCTTGTTCGTGAGATTTGGGTTTAGAAGAAATTTAACTTTATTTACTTTTCCTTCTACCTCAGCCTCCTTCAGTTTTGTTTATGGAGGGGAGGGTGACATTAGGTCTTAAGGAACTGAGTTATTTGTCTCTGGAAATTGGGCTAGACTCGAGGTGGGTACAGCCTTGTTTTTCTTGGCCTCCGCAAAACCCTGGCGCAGCCCGTGTTTGAGAATTTCCCCGCCTGGACCAGCCCCTCACCCTTCCTTCCAGGCTGAGGGCGTAAAGAGGCCTCCCTCGCCAGTACTCAGCCCCCGCCTGCAGGCTTGACGCGGGGATCCGAGCTCACCCAGGCTTTGCGGCAGGCCCGGGGTGAGCAAGAGCGCAGACCCAGCCCCAGGGCCGTCCGCATGGTCCCCAGCGCGGGGACTACACCGCTTCCTCCGCTGCAGACTCCGCGTGGGGACAGGGAGCCCCGAAGCGCAGACCCTCCCTCCCGGAAGTGCCCGCCGCGCTCTTCACTCCTGAGCGGGCGCCGAGGGGCCGCACCTGCCCCGCGCGGCTGGGCTCACAGCTGCGGCTGCCCTCCAGCACCCCTACCCTCCCAATCCTCCTGGTCGTTCCCCGGCCGCAGCCGCCCCTCGTCCCACCAAGCCGCGCCTCCACAGGTGTGCAGGGGGATCCGCCGGTGATCCCGGGAGCAAGGGCATCAGTGGCCTGGAACGCTCAGCCCAGGGGAATTCTGTCTCAGCCCCGGGAGGGTGGCCTGAGCCAGAGTGAGGAAGCTGGTCACCCATCCAAGACACAGGCAGGCCCCTTTTTGAAAAGAGGAAGACTCATGGAAGCTTATTGAGGAATTAATAGGACTGCCCCACCTTGTAAGAAGCTTGTTGAAGCCCTTGGCGTTCAAGAATATGCAGAGTGGCTGTGAAAGATCAGGTTTACAGCTGCCATCCCCTTCCTGGGTGGCTGTGTTACTAGCTTCAGTAGAATGGGCCAAAGCGGTAGGATCCATCATGTAAGATTATTAAAATTCATTGGTAAGATTGATATGTCAGCATATTTTTTCTAGAAGCATTATTTTGTCGTAAGATAACTTGAGGTTGGGAGAGGAAGAAAGCCAGAATTTATAATGGGTTTGTGTTGTATCAAAAAATTAGGGCAAAGCTCAGTGGACATTCTATATATAATAAAGGTAGACACCAATCTCCCAGACGCAGTTGTCTTACTTTTGTGTAAGATAGAAATAAAAGCTCCTTAACTAAGGTGGGAAGCATACAAATTAGGGAGACAGGCAGGCGGTGGACAGATGGACAGGAGAGCAGAAGACAGTCAAGGTGGAGGGAATGCAGGTACAGAAACAAGCAGGTGAGAATCAGCTGGGGGCAATGGCCCTAAAACTGCAGAAGGGAACAGGAGAGAGATCAAGGGGCCCCTTCCAGTGAAAAGCTTGAAGAATCCAATTGGCACTGAAACCAGAAACAGTCTCAAATCTTATATGAACATGAAAGGTGTTTCTCTGATTTTTATGTCCCATCTAACGTCAAGAAGCTCTAGAGGGTCACTGTCCAATTATAGTGATCAGTGATCCTATATAGTCAGTCAGTCAGCTATATAGTCACTAGCCCTACATGGTTATTTAAATTAGTATTAACTACAGTAAAAGCATTAGTTCCTCAGACACACCAGCTCCATTTCAAGGGCTCAATAGCCACCAGTGCCTAGTGGAGAGCGTACAGAGGACACTGCCATCATCACAAATAGTTCTATTGGACTGAACTGTTCTTGAGAATAGCAAGCACGGCTTTATTTAAGTAAGGACATCTTGCAAAAGTTTAAGTAGAGGACTCCTCTAGCTAGGGTGTCTAGGGGACACTGGGAGGGGTCTTGGTAAGGTAAGCAGCCTTTCTGTACCTCCAGGCTTGAGCATTGCAAAGGGAATCCCCAGCTATGGTGGCTGGCTGACCGGGGGCACTCACCACCCCACCTTTAAATTTTGTTTTCACTCCGGTGATCTTACCAGGAATACCATAACCTTCCCTTGCCCCAGGGCAAACTACTCTCCAATAAAAGCTCAGATCCTCCAGATAGGCCCAAATACCTACTTCTTCTTCTATACAAACAATGTTTTGTGTAAACAAATTTTTCCATCCCTGCTAAACTACTGGTCTGAACTCTAGAACCCTCTCCGAAGTCCCACAAGGCCCAAGATTCAGCACTAAGGGGATTCTTGGTGACCTTGGAAACCAAAGTTTCATTTACTTATTTGTTGCAAGGACTGAACACTATGAAGCAGAGGGAATGTGAAAGGTGGAGGTAGAAAGAACGGTGAAGACAGTTCACTCAAATAGCTCAGCTGAGAAGGAACAAAGAGATGTGGTAGCAGTTAGAGATGAAAAGAAATACCAGAAGGGCTTACATTTTTCTTTCCCAAATGATTTTGATGGTGATTACCTGTATCCATGTTTTAAAATAGAATAGAATTCACATGAGCTGGTAGAAGGAAGAAGTTAAAGATGAAAAAGGGAGGTGAAGGGATGGAATGAAACTTCACAAGAGGCAAAATCCAGAGCCTAGGTCCCTTTTCCACTGTAGTAACAGGGGAGGGAAGAATTGGGTACAGGGAAGTTTGTAGTTTGTAGAGTGCAGTGTATTGAGAGAATATGTTTTCTACCTTTTACTTACACTCTGCAGAGAGGTTGAAGGCATCTACTCAGCAAGATGAGAAGAAGAGATCAGGAGCACGTAAGGACTGAAACAGTCACTGCAGGTATGGGAAAGAGAGCAGACAAGAAACACACAAAACTGCGATGCAATGAATGAATATGAGAAGGAAGAAAATTTCTTTCTTTTAAAGCAGACACTTTTAAAGCTGACACATGTCAGCTAGTGACATGGGTTTCAATGGATACTAATTGCTGAGCACTTGAAAGATTGAAACAGACATAATTATTTTCATTATATTTTATATAAAATACACATTCACATAAATTTCATTTTGGAAAGACCTAAGCAGAGCATACATAATCAGACTTAAATGGGAGAAATACTTTACGGGAAATATATTTCTAGCTGGCACAAGTAACAAAATGTACATTTATATATAACTGATCAAAGTAGGAAATAAGAAACATGAACAAAGAACACAATGCAAGTCATTTTCTCCCTGATAAAAGGAGGGATCCGCGTGAGTCACCAAGTCAGATGCTTACCACATTATAAAAGCAAGCCATGGCTTCTACAGATTATTTTAATTCCTTTGAAGGAAATCTTTAAAAATATTTCCCCGACACATAACAAAATGACCAACTTTTATGTGTATAGACTGCAAAATTAGAGTATCTCCGTCATATGAAAGCACTTGGACAGTGCACTCACTTATGGTTGTGTGTGTGTTTTGTGGCGGTGATTATCTTAATTTCTCAAATGGAGGGCAACACTAATCAGTTATCTCTTGAGAGGTAAAGGACTTTCAGTCTGGTTTCAGGAGACACACAGAGCTTGCTAGTTTCACAGAACTAACCAGTCACTCCCTGGGTGACAGACATGGCTGAGAGGCTTGGTGACCTGCCCAGGGTGGGGCGGCTCCTCTGTAGCCGAACAGGCCTACCACCCAGATTTCTTGATTCTGGGACCGGGGCACCCCTCCTTTGAACCAGCAAGGCAACCCCAAAAGGATGTTATGCACACTGGAAACTTCCAAACATGACATAAATATATACCATTTGCACCACCGAGAACGGGAAGAAACTCTTGGGTTTCTGGACATAGATTAATCTTTCCATCTTGGGGTAAATGGTGATCTAATAATGACTAATGTGATGGATGCTGATTTTATGAGCTACATGCCCTAAAAGGTTTTAGCTGAAAGGATCTTTGGTGACAAAAATAACACATTTTTATATGAGCCATTTGATAGGCATGAAAATTATCAATTTTGTTGTCTTATTTTGAGGATATTAAAGAACTCCTTTGATTATAGATACTTTTTCTCTTGAAGTTAATGGCTACCACAACCAAAAAGAAAGAAGGAAGTTCTATTTTTTGAAGAACTGTTCAACATATTTTTCTTTTACAACAAAACATCAAGAATAATCATAAAAAGTTATGTTATATATTTGGCATTGTAAGCTTTTATCTTACTCAATTGCAGCCTAAATGCAAGATTTGACAGGTATTTCTTCTTTTAAAATACCAAAAGGTGTCAGATAGTTACCTTTTGCTATTATTGGGAGGTACCAACATGCAATTTAATCAAAGTAAATGTGATCTGGAAACTAGCTGAAAAATTAAAAACAAACCAACTACCCATAACTACATTTGCTCTGATTGTCATTACGAATACCCTACAGATTTATTAATCTAAGATGCACATCCTTCACACATCAGATCAAACGTTTTATTTTCCCCTCAAAAACAGATTCTAATGAGTACAAGAAGAAATAATTAACAAAAGGTGACGTGTGTAATCAAAACAGAGACATAAGTCTAGGCATACACTCTATGCCATGAACACCGCCAATGAGTTTTACATACTGGGTGCCTTGTCTGGTGTATACACATGGTGTATACACATTCTTCTCCATCTGAGAGTGAAGAATTCTGAAAATGTGAGGTCAAATTACAGTCCAATTGCCACCAGTGCAAACTGCCCCCACCCACCCTACCTGTCAATCTTGAAACAATAGTCTCAACCAATCAACTGTGCCATGGGTTATTTTTTAGAATTCTTTGGCTCATTTTAGTCTAGATTTAAAAGTAAAGATGGAGAAACATGGTAAAAGTCATAAAAGTTCTATTAAAGTTGTTAGCCTACTTCTCTAGTCTCGCTGCATTTTAGCATCTGGACTAGGCAGCCAGCATCTCAGAGACTGCCCAAGGGCCCCAGGTGATCCTGCAGTCCCACCTGGCCTGAGAGGCCCTGTGTGTGAAGGAACAGTTCTTAACTATCAGCTGAATGCGGTTCTTCGATCTGAGGGGCCTGGAATGTTTAGTAGAGACAATAAGAAACTACACATTCATTTTTATTCCCCTTCAAATTATAGTTTCTGTGGGTCGGCTGGTAAAGAATAGTTTGGATTTTCTCATTTAGTCTTGTTGAGAAGTACGGTACAATCACTACAAACCCCTCCATCAAGTGAGGTATGACCTGTGACGAGTGTCAGTCTTATGCTAGGGGCTGTGACGTACTATAGGAGGTTGTCATTAAAGTGCTGGCTTTCATCTTTGTTTTGTGATGAACTTCAAAACAAACAGACCCAAAAGAATATATACATCTCAGGATTCCCTAAAATAAAATTTCTTTTCCTCCAAGGTATTTGAATCTTTGGTTTACTTAACGTTACATCGCTAAACTGTGTTTTATGAATACTGTTAACAGCTGGAAAACATCTGGATCACTTAAAAAATCCTGAAGAATTCTTAAGGTTGAAATAAACTTGTAAAGCCATTCTCATGGCTCCTATATCAAAGGACTGCCACTTAATGGGAATCTTAAAGGCCAGGAGGACTGGTTCTAGGTAGGACAGGACAGGTTAGATTGGCAGTACACGGGGGATATATGTACACAAGGGACTCAAAATGTAGCTCAGAAAAAAAAGCGAGTGTTGCTCAGAGGAACACAGTCACAAATGAAACTCTGATCACCGGATCAAGTGTTCAGCCAGACTAAAGCATCTCCTGTCTTGTCCTTGGCCAACTTCCCTCCCACCGAGGACACCTTACATATTTAAGGATCCAGTGCAAGATGGAATTGCAGGACCCCTCTTTCAAAATTATTAAGAATTTCAAGCAGGGCCTTCAACCAAGCACAGGGGCCTTCTGAGAGCAGGACCCCCAGGGACCACATGAACCTCAGGCCCATGAAGCCAGCTCTGCCATTCCATCTCAGAAAGGGGACAGCAACTCTCCTGCCAAGCACACTTTTAGTAGGGGACTCTGGATGTATGTCCACAACTAGCCAGGGCACTCTGATTTTATTGATAGGAATGAATTCCACATAGTATTTCATGTTACAAGAACCAAATAAAAATAGTTATAAAATACACTTAATATCTTTGAAAAATAACATGTTATTTATTTTCTTTTAGGCACCATTTAACTATGAAAACTATTTCATTGGCTACAATCTCAGTGGCCTTATTAAATCCAGATAAAAATATCTGACCCAACAAACGGTGCTTACTTTTCACATTCAAGGAGATGCCAGTGGGTGTGCACAGAATGAGCCAGAGCAACAGTGTGGGGTGGGGGGCAGAATGAAGGGAGGCTAAGGGGCATGGGGAGAAGAAGGGAGGGAGGGAGAGAGAGACAAAGAGACAGACAGACATGGAGAGAGAGAAAAGCACCCAAAAGAAGGTAGAACAAGTCTCCTGAAGGCCATGTGACCCCTTCCCTCAGAAACTTTTAGGCTATAACCGCCATTTCAACCATTCTCACTAATGTACCCTCATAACTTCAGCGGCATTTCAAGTAAGGCATAATTGCTTTTCAAAATTTGGGACTTAGTCTTTTCTGTTAACTTCTTAGGTGTGAGTCTTGGTTACAGATTATTCTAAAAAGTTGTGATTTAAGTCTCAGATACTGTTTATTAGCTAGGGCTTCATCCCCCCCCCCCCAATTTGGGGGTGGACTGATAATTTAAAATGAACACTGTGGTACATTTCCTGGCCTTAGGACTATAAAAGTATAATTTTGAGGAGAATGAAAATATTTTAAGAAAATCTTGGACAAATTTATGACATATAAGGTTAAAAGACTACTAGAAACAGAAGATCACAGTGGCAATATATAGACATTGTTGGATTATTGATGAGTACAAACACATGTATGTTAATTCAAATTCTGGAATCCTTTGCATTTAAAATATGCCTTGCATCATCCCTTTACAGCGAAGTTCTTTTAACTAGACTTACCTTGACAAAAAAATAACACACAGGGGCAGTGTTGAAAAGAAGAAGGCTTTTTACCCTATCCTGGCCTGAGCAAGTGAAATCCACACACCTTTGGGATATGACATCTGTAGGCCACCTGGCTTAGCCTGCAAACAGCACTCTCCAGAGTGGTTCCTCCTCCTCTTCTTATTCTTTTTTTTTTTTTTTAATTTATGATGATGACCAAATTAGAATCAGGTGTTCCAACTTCTTCACTTTCAAAATATATTACCACCCAAACACTGAACTCCACTTCCTAATTTCTTTAGCTTTGGCAAGTGAATCATCAATACAAATTTTTTTGAGGGGCTGTTCAAACTTTACATTGTAATTCAGATTTGTGATTTCTGTATGATCAGTTCTGAAAGCTGCTATTAAAACCACTATGTACAGAGAAAAAAATTTGCGTGTGTGTGTGTATATATATATATATATATATTAAATATTTTATAAGTTACAAAATAAATAACACTAAAAACAAATGTCAAATTGTTAAGTTCCACTTTGCTGGCCTGTCTTTTAAATATAAATATGTATTTTTATAATTATGAATTTAGACTTTTTTCTCCCCTAAATTTTTTGAGCATTCGCCAAGAACTCTCCAATATTATAATTACAGAACCAAGAACTCTGGATTTCCATCACTCATGTTCTAAAGCAGAATTCTCATTAAATTTCAGTAGACAAATCAATAGAGCTTCTCTTCCATCCTCTTCATAGTCTATGAAGATTTTTGTGATATATTGTATAGCATTTTCAGTGATTAAATATAGTTTTCAAAAAAATAATAAATCTCTGGATGACTGAATGTTAAGATAATAAAGTAGAGCATTTCTCTTAGTTAATATCTTTAATATTTCTCATGTAGAATATACTATTTTTTTCTCCACCAAAATAACAATGTATGTGGAGTCAGAAACATTTATGATTCTAAAAGCACTTCTGAAATCTTAGAGCAGAATCACTACTCTAGTAATACTTGTAATAAAATTAAAATAATCTTAAACATTTCCATAAAGAAATTAGAGGAACCAAGATCCTTGATATTCCCCCAGGGATGAGAATACCCATACACAATTCCAGAAGCCTCCTTTTTGTTGTATCGGGCAATAGGAAAAGCTTGCATCCGAGTGGAATTTAATTCACTCTTCAACTGGGCTCTAGCAATATCCTCAGGGGGATATTAGACAAAGCTCACTTAACCACACCCTTTCTCCCAAATATTCCAGAAGATTCTACAAAAACTATTAGATACTCATTTCTAGTTTTGGAGAACTAAATGAGCTACCTCTTGGTGGAATTACCCAGATGGTTTATCCCAGAGATTTTCTCCTCTATGACATATCTCATCTCACAAGGAAGAGCTGCTCTGCCGTCAGAGAATTTAAGCCTCTGTATATGGGACATAAAAGTCTACACTGAGATGGAATTAGATTCTTAGGTTGGAAAAGCAGAGAAACAGATGAAGGGAAATCTGGAATTAAAGCCAACAAAAATCTGCAAAACGTGTAGTAGTTGTTTTACTTCCTCTCAGATGGAGCCCTTGCTTACTGTCTTCTTCCGTGGAAATGCAAGTCCCTTAGCACAGGGTTACCAGCTGGCATCCCAAAACGTGCCTCCCCAAACTCAGAGCGAGCGGAAAGCTTCTCTGTTGTGCCCCTGCTGAGGTGAAGGCCTCCAACACTTCTTCCTCTTCCAGAAGCACCAGCACTGTCCCTCAAGACTGGGCCAAACACGGCTACGTCTGATCCTTTTCTCGAACTTCTTGTAATCGTTTCTCTAGGCGATCCAACTTGGCAAGATTTTCCTGCAGCAGTTTGCTGTCTGGAACCAGCTGTAAGGCTCTCTTGTAATAAGCTCTTGCGGACACATAGTTTCCCTGTGGGGAAAAAGAGAGACGACAATTATAGTCTGACCCATCAGAACGCTCTTGGAGAATGCAGAGACTAAGAGACAGACCTTCTGGCCAAATTTAACAGGAATGTCCTCAGAAGGAAACCCTGTCTGCAAGGGTAATTTTATCCTTATCTTTTGGTGCTTTTGGAGAATCCATTTGTTTTAAGTACCAGGCCAGCTGGAGAATGTGAAGGATAAGAGTTACACCGTAAGGTGAAATGGCAGAAAAACAGATTTTCAATTCTACTAATGTATGGTATGAGGCTATCATTTCATAGGGCTCTCATGGGGTTGGTACTATTCCTTAGTAATCAAATGGAGCCATGGCTAGAGATGGGGGGTGAGGGGGAAGGAGGGAGGGAGGAAAGGGAGGGATGTTTGTGGGAAAATTCAAAAGTAGTGATGATTAAATAGTTTGGAATCTGCTAGACCTATTTAGTGGTGGAAGTTATTTTAATATCCAACTAACATAGAAGCAAGATTTGCCTAATATGGGCTTTAATGTAAACATACGGTTTTATAAAGTGAAAAGAACTGATAAGAACATGGAGTCAAATTTACCTAAGGTATGTGACGATATGAACCTGCTGGATCCTCTTAAAGCAGGAAAGAAGGCATAGCACCCCTGACCTGCTAAAGATACCTGTCACCACCCTCTGTTGGCCCCCATCTGCTTTGTTCCATGGCTTTCTAACTGGAAATGATGTGTGCCTGTTCCAGATGGTTCCAGACAAATTAGTCATAATTATTGTTTTCCAGGCCCTTTTCTGCTACTAAATTTTACCTTCCTTATTTGGTTCACCCTCTTTCACATCTGTGTCCTGCCACGTCTCAGAACTCTGAGTGTTAAGTTCTCTTCATTTCCCCGCATTTCAATTTGCTCTATTTTATTCTCCATTACAGCTCCATGCGGACAAAAACCAGTTAGTTACTCTCTGAATTCCCATCACAATTTAAAATAGCATCTCTAATTGAGAGTTCTATGTAGCAACCAGCAACTAATATTTACTGAACGCTTAACTATCCTCCAAAAGAGCTAATGCGTGTTAAGAGCTCAGACAGGCTGACACATAGTGAGTCCTCAGTCCAATGCTACCATTGTTGTCATTATTAAACAACCATCCAGGGTTGAGTAAACACCATCCCTTTATTACAGTACTTACTCGTCATATTGGTAAAAAGGAGAGTGAAAATGACAGAAAAGTTAATTGTAACTTTGGGAATCTAGGCTCTGACACATGCACAAATCAGAAAATATTTCTGATTAGCCCTGATTCTCATAAGAGGCTAAACAGAATTCTGAAGTGGTGAGACCCTGGATTTGCTTTATTCAATTGTTATTATTTTTCATCAACTCCAGCATTTATCTTCCAAGTATCTTGTGATGTTTACTAGGCTTAGCATACATGTGCAGACAACCGAGTGCTCTCAAAATATGTTTATATTACAGCCGACTTTGAAATTTTTCTGCTGAGTCTTCTCTGAATGTAGGCCTCAGCCCGATGCCTTGGCATTTCCTTCGCTGATTACCAGCTTTCTTCGTCCTTTCACGTAAAATCTACTGCTAGAGTTATCTTCTCTCCCTCAAATTGCTCTTTACTTGATTAAACTGGAAGCCTTGTTTTTTTTTAAAGTTATATCCCTTGATTCAGTGTCCCCAGTTCTGAGATGCTAAGATAGGGAATCTGAATTATCTAATTTCTAGAAATGTGCTATCTAATTCCACATGGCTATTTAAGCTTCCATCAATTACGGTAAATTAAGAATTCAGTTGCTCGGTTTTACTAACCACATTTCAAGGGCTCAACACGCACATGGGCTAGTGGCTGCTGCCTTTGACAGTGCAGCTATAGAACACTTCTGACACCATGGAGAGTTCCGTACGATGCCACTCAAGAAAATGCACATACGGCAATACTGAAAATAGTACTTTGTGGTGTGGTCCAGTTCATAGAACTCTTTGATTATAAAGAATGTATTTTAGCCTTTTTGGTCCATCCATTTCATCCTTTATGAAGCTTCATTATAATTATATTTTATTATCAAGCAGTATAAGAAAGACAACTCCCTTCTCATCTCTTCATGCCACGACCTGGCAAAGCCTTATTCCAACTTGCAACCTTACCACAACCCTTGGTATCCTAAGTTTCACCTGGGCTCAGGGAAGGAGAGAAGCCTGGAAAGAGCACACACTACCTGGCAGTGCAAAGAGAAAGATAATGACCACTCTCTCTTCAGGACCTCATAATAATCTTGCATCCTAATGGTACCATCTAAATGACCATATCCAAACCATGTGCCCGGTCTATATACTTATTCTGGATTGTAACATAATGAATTTACTGATATTAGATGATTTTTCAATTACAAACATAGCAATTTTATACTGTTCAGCCTAATTCATGATGTTTGCAAAGACGAAAAACTGCATAAACATTTCAAACATTACATTTCAAAATAATACACTCAATAGATCCTTCTTCAATCTCCAGATACCTTTTCAGGGGAAGTACCTCTAAATTTAAAGCAACGGACTCACTCGTTAATCTGAGAATTCAATGAACGTACTATTCTCCTTGTATTTCCAGACTTTTTGGAAAAGTCTTGAGTGTACTTACTGTACTTCTTAAAAAAAGATTTATTTGTTTGTGTGTGTGTGTGTGTGTGTGTGTGTGTGTGTGTGTGAGAGAGAGAGAGAGAGAGAGAGAGAGAGAGAGAGAGAGAGAGAGAATGAGCAGGAGGAGCGGAGGAGAAGGAAAGAGAATCCCAAGCAGACTCCATGCTGAGCTCTGAGCCCAACATGGGGCTGGATCTCATAACCCGGAGTTGAAACAAGTCAGCTGCTTAACCAACTTCACCACCCAGGTGTTCCTACTTATTATATTTTTTAAACTAACAACTGAACCCACTGCTTTAAATGCAGGCCCATGTCATCTAAAAACATATTGAACTTATTATTTTAAAATATAACTATTTAATATATTATTTAAATATTTAAAATTACGTTTCTTTCTCTCTCTCTCTCTATCTCTCCTTCTTCCTTCCTTCCTTCCTCCCTCCCTCTTTCTTGTATTTTTTTAAAAATATTTTTAATTTTATCTATTTATTTGACTGAGAGAGAGAGAGATCAGAAGGGAGAGGTAGAAGCAGACTTCCCGCATAAGCAGGGAGCCCAATGCTGGGCTTGATCCCAGGACCCTGGGATCACGACCCGAGCCGAAAGCAGATGCTCAACTGACTGAGCCACCCAGGTGTCCCCTTTCTTTCTGGTATTTTTTTCCAAATTTATTCCATGTGATTTATGATCAAGCTTAAGTAAGTTCATATTGCTAGACACCCTAGAAGGTGATTAAGATCAGAGCTCAGGTTATTCTGCTCTGATAAATGTCCTGTTTATTCCTCTGTTAGAGCACCAACTCTCAGTCACATTATCCCCTTCCAGCTATGTAATCACAAGTTACCTTTCTGTTTTGTTGTGTTTCTGAGAGTGACCAGTTTCCACTTAATAGTAAATCCTATTGGGCTTTTATTTAAATGCTAATCACTATATTATTGTTTTATTAATATAAAGACTGATAGAAGCCTGAAAATAGGTTAGCTAAATAAGAGCGATCCTTTAAAAACATGTCAGACCATGGCATCTCTCTGCTCAGAGTCTTCTAAGGACCCCAACTCATTCAGCATGGCATAAAAGCCAAAAACCCTGCATTCCCCTTCAAGGCTCTACATGATCCTGCCCTGTGACTTAACTCTGACTCCAGCTTCTACCATTTCATCTTACTTGCCTCCTCCCTGTTCTTCAAACACAGCAGGTACTCTCATACCTCAGGACCTTTGCATATGTTCTTTCCCTGTTTTGCCACATGGCTTTTCCCCTTCAGGTCTCTACTCAAAATCACTTTTTTTTAAAAAAGATTTTATTTATTTGACAGAGAGAGATCACAAGTAGAGAGAGAGAGAAAAGAGCAGGCTCCCTGCCTAGCAGAGAGCCCGATGAGGGACTCAATCCCAGGACCCTGAGATCATGACCTGAGCTGAAGGCAGTGGCTTAACCCACTGAGCCACCCAAGCAGCCCTCAAAATCACTTTTTAAAGTGAGGCCTTCCCTATTTGCGACAATGTGGATGGAACTAGAGGGTATTATCCTTAGCGAAATAAGTCAATTGGAGAAAGACAACTATCATATGATCTCCCTGATAATGAGGAAGTGGAGATGCAACATTGGGGGCTTGGGGGGGGGTAGGAAAAGAATAAATGAAACAAGATGGGATCGGGAGGGAGACAAACCATAAGAGACTCTTAATCTCAAAAAACAAACGGGGGGTGGGGGGGGGGAGGGGGGTAGGGAGAGGGTGGTGGGGTTATGGACATTGGGGAGGGTAGGGGCTATGGTGAGTGCTGTGACGTGTATAAACCTGGCAATTCAGACCTGTACCCCTGGGGCTAATAATACATTATATGTTTATAAAAAAATAAAAAAATAATTAAAAAAAATAAATAAAAAATAAAGTGAGACCTTCCCTAACCACCTTAATTTTAAATTTCAGCCCTTACTCCATGGTACTTCCTATCCCCATTCTCTTTTTTCTCCATAGCACTATGATATATTTTACATATAGATGTATGTATGGATGTGTTTATTTATTGCCTGTCTCTTTTAGTAAATGTTAGCTCCATGAAGACAGAAAGTTCTGTCTTACTTATTTAGTGTTCTATTCCCAGTGCCTGAAGAAAGAGTACCTGGCCCATCACATGCACATCACATGTCAAATGAACGGATGAATGAATGAATGATATCGAGTCTTTGAGTTCATTACTTATAGGCAGCAGCCTTCCCAAGGGTCATTTTTGATGATTCACTCAAAGATAGCTTTTCCTTTTGGAAAAACAAAAAACCCACAAATAAACAACCTTGCATTTCAGTAAATGATTAGGGAGTAAAAGATACATTAGGTACAGGAAATAATAAAGTAATATTTAAAGTAACACTGTACTCTTGACCATGAGTTAAGCTGTAGGACAATGAGGTCCAGGAAGCCCCAACAAGGGGCAGATTTTATTTGCTGTATGATGATACTTCTCTTAGGTACACATGGTTTTCTTTATGTTCAATAAAATCATGGAATATAATTTGTATAGACTTAGTTTTTAAATGACTTCATGATATTCAATATCTGGATAAAACAAAGTGAACATAATCTGTGCTGATTTCCCTTTTAAACATATAAGGCTTTTGGTCTTTAAATAATTCAAAGAGGGAATTAACAATATTTTCTCAATCTTTTGAGAGAAGACAGAAAGAGAAAATGGAAAGAAAAACCCAGATCCCTTGGAAATGAATTATTCTCCTACCTTGATGTGTTGGATTCCACCCATGTTCATCCAGGCCTGTGCTTGATCTGGATTTAGCTCCACGGCAGCTTTATAGCTCTAAATATACAAGAAACATTTTCAGGTTGAGAAAGGAGAACCCACGTTTAATGCTACAGGACTGTGGAAGTCACTTTCTACCTATGTGAGAATGTAAATGGTTAACACAATGAAACCAGACACTACTAGCTCACAGGTGTTCCCGTTTATTTAATTATGTTTCAAAACTGATCACTGGGAAGTGGAGGAAACAGAAATGTGTAATTTGCTCACAGAGACTGAGGATGCCCGCAGGGAATCCAGGTGATTTTATTATAGTGCATCATTTCTCTCTGGCCTTGACCCGCAAGAAAACGCTTTTGGATTTTTTCGCCATAAATGGAGTTTGTAAGAATATACTTTTTCAATGATCACAGAATCTTTTAGAATCTTTTCCTATGTAGCTCAGCCCTTTCACAGTATCACTGGCCTGGTTATTCAGCCTATACCGAAATCCTTGCGGTGACAGGATGCTCATTCCTTCCTTGAGGACATCTATCTTCCTAGGGGATAGTTTCAATCATTAAAAAGCCTTCCTTTATCTTCTGCCACAGGTCTTCATATGTCTCAAGAGAAATTCCTTCTCTCAAATACCTCTTTTGGTCTGGAAATGTGTATCCCATTAAATGTAGCATCTGTGAGGCATACGATAATATATTTTTTTAAGATTTTATTTATTTATTTGACAGAGAGAGAGAGATCACAAGTAGGCAGAGAGGCAGGCAGAGAAAGAGAGGGAGAAGCAGGATCTCCGCTGAGCAGAGAGCCCGATGTGGGGCTCGATCCCAGGACTCTGAGATCATGACCTGAGCCGAAGGCAGAGGCTTAACCCACGGAGCCACCCAGGCGCCCCAATACTGGTAATATTTTGCATGTTGTTTTATATCACCACTGGGTCTTAATTTAAGAGTGGTCACCTTAAGTAAAGCTAATGGCTATGAGAGTTGCTTTCAATTACAAAGCTAAGTATCTGTGTGTCTATTTTAATGCTCTTTGCTATTTTCACTGATGAACAGCTTCATAAAGTAAACAGAATCTGGTCCATCCCTCCTCCTGTTTTAAGAGAAACAAGCAAATAACAAGAAACTACACTTCTAAAGAGCTGGTAAAATAAACCTGAAGAATATGTCTCTTAGGTTAATTTGTATCAACAGAGATGAGAGTGTAGGGTAGGAATTAAGAACCTGGATTCAAATCCCAGCTCCATCTCTTACCCTCTGTGACCTTGAACAAGTTACATAACCTCTGAGTCTCAGTTTATTCAACTATAAAATGGAGACAATGACCATAGCTTTCTTATATGACTATTGAGAAGATCAAATTACTTAATATGTGTAAATCATAAATAAAAATGCTACTCATAGCCCTATTCCTATCTGTCATAGATCTAGCCACTTTATTTATTAATTGATTGGTTGATTGATTTTAAGTAGACTTCACACCCAGTGTGGAGCCCAATGTGGGGCTTGAACTCACAACCCTGAGATCAAGAATTGAGCTGAGATCAAGAGTTGGACGCTTAACTGACTGAGCCACCCAAGCACCCAAATCTAGTCCCTTTAAAATGATTATCTGATTTATAGTTAAAGCAACTGGAAAATACGTTTGTTTTCAATACAATGTATAAGATACAGATACCAGATAACTTCATAATTAAATTATATATTCATTAAATTGTCATTTTAAAATGCTTACATGTTACGGTATTAAAAATGTTCACAGGCTAAGGGGGTCTGGGCAGCTCATTTAATTAGGTGTCTGACCCCTGATTTCAGCTCAGGTCATGATCTCAGGGTCTTGTGATTGAGCCTCTGTGCTCAGGCAGCTGTCTGCTTCTCCTCTCCCTCTCTCTTTGCCCCTCCCCCTGCTTGAGCACTCTCTCTCTCTCTAAAATACATAAATAAAGCTTTTTAAAAAATGTTCACAGGGCACAGAAAAATACGCAATTTCCCCTTCAAATATGCCACTGTTTTAAGAGTTTATGTTCAAGTTAGTTTCCCCAAATATCTTTACCTGTTTTTAAATATTTTGAAAGTCACTCACTGTTTTCAGAAACAATAATATCATTTAAAATTTTACTTTTCTCATGTTATATTTAGTGTAATTTTATGACTTCATTAATTCCACCTTGTGGCTTTACCAGAAATGCTTGGTATTTCTATAATATTTTTATTTGTTTGGAATATCTTTTTGATTTCAAACTACGTACAAATTTTATTTGAGAGCTGTAGATATTGAATGCCGCTAAGACACAAGGCATTATGTTTTAGAACATGGAAGGAAGCAGTCCCTTTATACAAGAAGTCCAATCTAACTGGGGAGCAGGCACTGTGCACAGAGGATTGGGGGCGGGGGTCAGGGAAGGAGGAGAGAATAGGGAGAGTAAAAAGATGCCTAACAATACAATGTAATATATGATACTTTCAAATGACTTGTAGAGATGGTATACGTAAAAGTTCACAGGAAGCAAGGACACTGGGAGAAAGCAAGATCCAGATGGGCTTCCAGAGGGAGGAAGACTATGTGTTAGTGGATGAGAGGGAATCTTGTGAGGAATTGGGGGGATGTGTGGAAATGCCAAAGCTATTTAGATACTCGTCTAGATGGACTAGAGGGTTACTGCCGGCCAACAGAGAGAGTGAGAGAGGCAGAGTGAGAAACTAACTGAGGCAATAATGTGGCATTGCCTCAAACATCAAGTTAAAGGTGATAATTCAGAAAATAATGCAGAGGTACTGCAGATCTCTGAATAGTTAAAAAAATAGTCAATTATACAAACTAAACGTGTAACATCATGGCCATTAATCAAAAAATTCACTCCATAAACATGCCAGTCATCTTACATTTTACTATATATGCTTCAGTAAAGATTGAGTACTAATTTTAATCTCTTAATTTAATAACATAATTTGATTAAGTGTTTATACCTCGAAAGCTTTATCCAGAAGATTCTGCTCTCTTAGTTGGTTTCCTTTTGTGAAAAAAAGTTCAGATACGACTTTTGGGTCCTTTGGTTTCAGCTGGAGAGCCTTGTCGATAGCATCGAGTGCCTGCCAACAGGAAGACAGAATGTAGATGAGATGAAGAAAAACTAACTTAAATGATAATATTTATACTTTTTGTCCTTAAGTATTAGCTGGTACGGTAAATGACAATCAAAACACATTCTTCATTGTCTCTGATGTTCTCACTGAGAAATAATGTGGCTCTGACAAAGTAATTTTCCTATACTCCAGGGTTTCCATTTACACTGTGACAATGACATGTCCCTGGCCAGTCCACAGGGAAGTCAGTGATAAAGATGAAAGAAAACAAGACCTGGGGTCAGGTGATTTGCCCTGCCTTTGTCCATCCGGACCACTCCAAATACAGCCTCCTCTTAGGTCCCTGGTACCCACTCTGCCCCCAGCACCCACTGCCCCACTCCCTGCAGCTAGGGATCCTTCAAAACACAAATTCCACCATGTTGCTCTTCTCCTTAAAAGCCCAAGGCTTCTCCAAGGATAAAAAATAAAACCTTTGCCCTGGTCCCGAGCCCTGTGGGGTGTTGTCTCCAACAAACTCTGTGGCCATTATCTTATACAGTGCCCTGCTCCCTTTATGCCCATCCCTCAGACTTGCCATTTGCTGCTGCCCCAGGGCCTTTGCATATACTTTAACTGGCCTGCAATGCTTTTCACTGCCCCCCTTCATCTAGTAACTCCTATTTATCATTCAGCATTAACCTTCATATCACTCCACAGGGAACCTAACCTTTCAGATCACTCAGGTCCCTGATAACATGCTTGTTAGGACCATGACACTCTTCATGACATTACTGAGCATAGCTTTAATTCTACATTTGTTTTTGACTGCTTGTTTAATCTTGGTTTCTTCTTCTTCTATAAACTCCATTGGGACAAAGGTGATTTTTTTTGTTTTTCCTATACTACTTTATTCCTGGTACCTACCACAGAGGCTGGCATATAGTAGGCATTCCATAAGTACTTACTGAATCGCTCCATAAATTCAAGTCACATAACTTTTCAAATGGAGATAAACAATAATAGTTGAAATACAAGGTCACTGACCTGTATAAAGACTGCTATAAGGATTCTATAAATAACGTATTTGAAGGAACATAGAAAATGATGAAACATACAAATGTTAGTCTATATCTAGTTAGGTGAAAACAAATTGAGATACTATCACATAAAATCTTTAGACCAAGGATGAACCAAGAAAGTATTGTTTACAGGGGACATATTAGAGTTAGGGGGTAACTGTGAAAAGCATCTGTAAGATAGGATATGCCAATGGATGGCATTCAAGATTGCTCAGCCTCATAAATGTGCAGACTGGAGAATCATTCAGGCATACCTCATTTTCTACCTGTGAATCCAAACAATTCCAGTGTGGTCCCTACCTTTTCGTGGAGCTCCTGCTTGCTGTAGATTGCTGACAACAGGCGGTAGCATTCAAGGCATCCGGTCTCTTCTGACACAATGTGGTTGGTCATCTTCTCAGCCTCTTTTGTCTGACCCATCACAGCCAAAACCTGAGCCTGCAAAACCACAATGAACTGGCTTAGGAGACACTGGTATCACCTCATCAAACAAAGCATTTCTGAAAACAGGCATTCCAGAGACACTCCAGAAAAAAAATGCTTAGCATCTATTTGCAACTCAGAGAGAGAGCTGAATTCCCACAGTGTACAGGTGTAAAATTTTGTTTATTTATTTATTTATTAAGGCATATGCATGCACTGTGTGTGAATAGCAGGGACACCAAAGACATCAACGAAATGACTTGACTTTTTAAAAAATTCGACTATCTCAAAAGAAATGATTTCATATGGTTTCAACAGGATGTCATGTTTACAAAAAGATGACAAGATTGATTTATTGCAGATCTAAAGAAGAGTAGCAAAAATGCACATTTCCAAAAACTGAAATTAAAAATATTGCTGATTATTAATTTCTTCAATTTGAGAACCATACTCTAGCTATGTTAGAGAATGCCCTTGTTTTTAGGACTATATGCTGAAGTATTTAGAAAGACAGGGCGGGGCGCCTGGGTGGCTAAGTTGGTTAAGCGTGTGCCTTCGGCTCGGGTCATGACCTCAGGGTACTGGGATTGAGACCCGCATCTCCCGCTCCCTGTCAAATAAATAAAATCTTAAAAAAAAAAAGAAAGAAGGGCATGAGATCTGTAACTTTTTCTGGCTCACAAAAAAAATTAAACGTATTAATACTAAGCATCTGCACACATAAATATGCACATATGTACATATGTGGATGTATACACACATACAGACATGATAAACAAATTCATCAAAACACTAAAAATGGATAGAGCTGGGTGAAAGGGGATACATGAGCTATTCAGTAAACCAAAAACTTAAAAAACTTTTTTGGTGTCTACGACTTTGGTGAATGGCTCCCACACTGGCTATATGGGTATTCAGAAAATGGATCTATGGTAGTGCTCTAGTTGCAATTCTGGGGCTTCTGACCCAGCTCCCTGCATGGCACACTGCATGTCCGGCTCATCTCTTTCGCCTACGCACTCACCAGGGCTAGGCGGAGCTCCCTTTGAGAAGGTTCTAGTGCCGCGGCTTCCCGGTAAATCTGCAGAGCCTCGTCATACCGGCCCGTGTTATAATACAGCGCTCCCAAAGGTGATAATAGCTCTGCTTTGTGTGCCACCTGTAGGGCCCTGAGTTTTAAGAAAGGTGAACTGAAATTCTTATAGGTACATTCTGAAAGCGTGAAACGCAGGTTTAAGGAGGATGGTCCATGGTTTGAGACTCTCCAACGTGGTCTCTGTTTTTATAATCAAGAAGACTGTTTTTAAAACAGTCTTGCCACCCTCTAACTATAAGAATGTCTCTAGTGACCTCTCCATATGGAGACTGAGCTCCAAGGATCTTTCCCACTGATGGTGATAGGCTGGTTCCCATGCATGCACGGTCTGCCCCCCATATCCATTTTCGAAACTGCTATTTGTGGCGGGGGCTGCAGTCCGCAGCCTCAGAAAAGAATTCCAGCCTTGGTTCTAACCAAGGTTCTAACCTGCTGTTCTAACCAGTAGGACTTTAAGCCATCCCTTAAGATACCATTTAGTATTTAGTATTAGTCTCTTTGGAGAGGAGAATCTGGATTGCCCGAATTGGCAAAATCGGTTACTATTCTAAGAGCATGTCTGTTCTGATGACATAAAAATTGGAAGGGTGACTACTAAGGTCTTTGGGCAACTTACAAAGTGAAGAAAAGGAACTTTACCGTTTGTACCATTCTTCAGCGGCACTGTTGTCTCCCAAGGACCTGTAGAGCCTCCCCAGATTCACCATGGCCACGTGATGACTTGGGCTGAGTGTGATGGCCTGTTGGTAATGGGCCACTGCCTTCTCTGGAGAGCCTGTAGCCAGGGGTGGTTGGTGAGAGCACAGCAAGATTTAATTATACAACACATGAGGCTCTTCAATTTCTCTTCTGGTGTATATCATTCTTCTTCATATTACTGAGTCATACCATCAATTATTCAGTTTGTAAATGAGCTTGCATTTTGGCTTTGTCTCCTTGCCACTGTGTAGCTTTGGACCATTTTACTATTCATTCCCAGTTCCAAGGAAATTAATAATAAAAAAAAGGCAATAAAACCTAAAATCTGCTTTTTTCTTAATGTCTAGCATTTTAGCCCAAGTGTTTTTTGGCCTTTGCCCTAGTTAATATGATGTTTTGAGATTATCAGTGACTGTTGTTTATACAAGATACTGTTACTTCTCATTATATGAAAAAATAGATAGGCTATTATAGAAAAAAAAAAACTGTCCTGAAACTATTTCTAAGCATTGGTCTCAATTACTCTACCACAAAATAGTATCAGGGCACTGCTTTATCTTTTTAAAAATCAGACATTTTTGTAAAATGGTATTTATGTAATGGGACTTTAAAAAATAGTAATAATGCCTTTGCATTTGTTTTAAAGATTTTTTATTTATTTATTTGACAGAGATTACAAGTAGGCAGAGAGGCAGGCAGAGAGAGTGGGGAAAGCAGGCTCCCCACTGAGCAGAGAGCCCTATGCGGGGCTCGATCCCAGGACGCTGGGATCATGACCTGAACTGAAGGCAGAGGCTTTAACCCACTGAGCCACCCAGGCGCCCCATCTTTACAGGTATTTTTGACACAATTTAGCTGACTTTTTAAAAAGAAGATTAATTAATTAATTAATTAATTTGAGAGAGAGAGAGAGAGAGAGAGCAAGCACGTGCGCGCATGAGCATGCGAGCTGGGGGAAGAGCAGAGGGAGAGGGAGAAGCAGATTCTGCACTGAGCATGGAGTCCAGTGTGGGGCTTGATCTAAGAATCCTGAGATCATGACCTGAGTTGAAATCAAGAGTTGGCCACTTAACCTCCTGGGCCACCCAGGTGCCCCTATTTAGATGCCTTTTGCTACCCTTTAGCTGTGTCTTGGTACTTAAGAGGTATTAAAAAATATATCAAGGTATTGCTTTAAAGCTATGGACACTAAAGTGTAAAGGGCACTTAAGAGACCTGACAAAAATCCCAGGGCAACTGAGGATGAAGACCAGAACTAGAATCAAGCCTCTGGTGAGATTCCCCAAAGAAGCTTCCTCGTGAAACTACATCTAAGTGACTGAATTGCAGAATGGTCTGAAGTTCTAGATGAAATGGAATGTTTATGACCTGCAGACACGTTCTCAAGTGCACCTTCTTTGAATGGATGTCTGCACCATAAAGATTTTATGTCTGTGTAGATCTATGTACAGGTCACTGGTAATAGGGAGAATTTCCACCAGTACAAAATACATGACTATGAAGGAAGTGGCAAGAAGATATACAGGGTAGCCAGTGGGATTTTTAGGGGAGTAGCATTGTTTGTTGTTGAGGTAGAAGGAAGAGGGAAGACCAGATCAACAGGGGGTCTCTTCCAGTTTTTATATCTTCAGGACACCTAATGTATTAGTGTGTTGCTAAGAAACCAGCAGGTGGCACTACAAAACAATTTTACGTGTAAATATAAGGGGCATTTCCTAGGAGTTTTGGAATGCAAATTTACGTTCTATTAAACAGAAAAGTTTCAGATATACTAGAAAATAAAAACCCCTTTGAGCATTCATACTGACAAAATAATTAAAATAATTTTATCACAAGGCAGATAGCCTAATAGTCAATGAGAATAGAATGGTGCTTTTGTATTAAATTCAACTACCTTTTGATTCCTTATAAGTATTCATAGCATGCCAACAGTAGATGGGACACAAATCATAAAGAAAACAGAATCCCTGCCCAGTAAAGTTTTGCATTAAATAAGATGGAGTAAGTATATTTTATATAGCACCTGTCATATAAGAGCAGTCTATCAATAATAATAATATAGTTTCTGTAATCTACATCAAGTAAAGAATGATGGAACAATTCTGGAGCCTTTTTTAAATCAGACATAAAGAAGTATTTTCCATCTGCTGGTAAGTAGATTCAGAGGCAAGCCGTGTATCATTGCTGAGGACTGTTTCATCATCATAGATTTATGGACTTGTCTAAATGATACTCAAAAGCCTGCTACTCATTAAATCAGCAAGTATTCTAATATGTGGGGAGTTTTTCTGAGTGCTATACAAACTGGGTGGATTTTACTGAGATGAACTTGAAGACTTAGAGAAATGATAGCCCCACAGTACAATGTGATGGTCAATGGTGTGAGTTTCCTGCCAAGCCCAGTGATGTTACTTAAGAGACATCATTTGGGTGGTTGCCATTTTGCTTGACAGATAGTATTATCTCATCTCAATGGAACAGGTTCTCTTTAATTTCACTCACCAGTATCAACTAAGAAAACCCCATAGTTGTTGTGTAAGTCTGAGCTGTCTGGACAGCTCTTTATTCCAGCCAGGTATATCTCCTCAGCCTCCTTAAATCTCTCCTTTAAAAGAGAACAAAGGAGAATAAATGAGAAAGTTCAAAACAACAACAACAACAATAAATTGAACAATAGAATAGGAAAAATAAGAAACCAATTTACTGAGCATCTATTATGTAACAGGCACCAAGATCAAACATTACATATTTTGAATTAAAGTCAGTGCCAATGGCACAAATTCCTACAGTTCATATCCATTCCTATTTAGTTCCTTTAGGGCAAACAAGCAGATGTTTACTAAGAAGGGACATCTAGAAGGATTTGCCCTGCAATTAGAAAAAGCCTCAAATAGTTGTTTGACTGGGATGCTCTCCACCCCAGTAACTCTGTGTGAAAATGAGTGACAGACACATCCACAGAGTAATATCTTGAGAGGTGACAATCTGACTGGGAGCCAAGGAGGCCTGGGACATCCATCTAACAGCTGCACTTGGCAGAGATAACGCTCTCTTTACATACTCTGCATGGTTTATTTGGGGAGGTTTTTGAGGAAAGAAGGAGACTGATGGTGATTACAGGAGGAACTGGCCTTGACCTTTCTTTAATCAAAATAGTTCTAGAGTCCACCCAACTGTGTGCTGCTTCTTTTAGTCAACCTGTGTTTTCATTTCAGAGCCATATCCTCCAATAGGCTCTCCAAAGGCAGACCTCCAACTCTTATTACTGTGGCAAGGCCCAGATCAACTGCCACATCTTCCTAATTGTCCTGCTCTTCTTCTAAAGATTTGCTTTAGCACACTAGTAATTCTGAACTAGCTATTAGGTACATTTTTCACAGGGTTACACATTCTTTCACAATATAGAAGGTAAAACCTACTTAATGAATCAAAGCTACCCAGGTCCTAACAATTACTCATGAGTAAACAATTTCAGTTTCCTGGTACTGCTGGGAAGGTCAGGTAAAAGGAAATAATCAGGCGTAAAGCACATAGCAACTTTTCCTTGAATATGCTCTGCGGGTAGGCATTTTCCATAATTTTATCACATTTACTACTATTAAGTATTCAACCAGACACACACCAAGGGAATGTACAGCATCAATTTTCTCAGATGTGACCCCTTTGGCTTGTGAATAAAAATGCACTGAGCCTTGTGTTATAAGCCAAAGAGCCTCCATTTGATTTGACCCAGAAAAGTAAAGACACTTGACTCTCTGTGGAAGGACCACTGTCATTTCTTTGAAACTTTATTTACTTATTTGTTTATTTGAGAGAGAGAGAGAGAGAGACAGCGCACATGTGCACAAGTGTGTAAACATGAGTTGCTGGGGGGAGAGAATCTTCAAGCAGACTCTGCATTCCAGAGCCTGACGACGCAGGGCTTGATCCTACATCTCCAAGATTATGACCTGAGCTGAAATCAAGAGTTGGACACTTAATGAATTAAGCCGCTCAGGTGCCCCTAAGGCCATCTCTTTGAATCCAGACATTTAAGTACCATTTAGGAAACAAGGTGTGGTTTGAATTTGGCAAATTTCACTTATTTGAATTACAAAGCCACAGTCCAGCGAAAATGGAGATCCATGTTTCTAAAAAGTATATGTATTTTCGAATGCCAGAGTCTAATTTAGAAAAATTAAAGAATAAAAATCTCAAATCTCAAAATAATCTTTCAATCTATTAAAGGGAAGAAAAACTTTATGAAGCTATAATTCACTGTAGGACCAACAAATTTGTGTATGTGTGTTTAGAGATAGGCAGGACACAAATTATTAAGACTCTAATCATATTAATAGCTACCAAGTACCACTGCATACTTCTCATTTACTCATTCACTCAGGACATGTTTACTGCAAGGCCTACAGAAAGTGTGGCACAGCGATGAAGCAGTGGCTGCCAGTGCTTGACTATGTGCATTGGAATGCCAGTCCCACCATTTACTATCTATGTGACCTCACTTTTCTACATGCGCAGTTGTAAAATGGGATAACAGTAGTACCTGTCGCATAGGGTTGTTGCATGAAATGGATCAAAATATGTGAAGCACGTAGAACAATGCTTAGCACACAGCCCTTTGTCACGTTAGCCATATCCTTGTTATGATCACTAGTTAGTGTTAGCATTATTACTGTATCACTAGGAGACAGATACCAAAAACAGGGAGGTGAAGAGAACAAAATACCTCTATCAGGAGCTCAAAAACAAGTGAACTAATAAATACAACCCAATGACAGCGGTGTTTTAAAAAGGGAAGTACAGCTTCTCTTGAGCTCAGGAGTCCTAGAGTGGCTCCTGCGGCCCCATGAGGAGTTGTGGCCCTGTCTGAGTAGCCAGGAGTCTCAAGTTCCTTTCCTACAAGAGTTCTTCAGTTAGCTTTAAATGAGAAATAATTAACTAACCCAGGTGTTTTCCCTTTTAACTTTTCTTAATCATCTTCTGAAACAGAGGTCAATAAACACCTCATATCCTAGAGGCAACCAGAAAAAGAACACCCTGGCTAATCCAAAGCCGGGTTGTCAGCTCCTAGGGATCTCAAGTTTCCTGTGTTACCATTCCACAAATGTTACTGTTCGATTTTAATGTCACCTTTGTCTTAAAAGGATCAAATTCTCTATGCTATATGGTACTTTTAAAACGTACTAACATAGTCATGGTAAAATCAAAACTTAAAAAAAAAACAAAAAAACCCCAAAAAACAACCCATCCAACTGTTAAAAATACAATGGATGAGATTTTCAGCCAAGAAAATAAAAGAATAATAGAGTTGGAAAGAGTAATACTTTATACTTATAAATAAACAGAAATATACTAAAGAGACACTAATTTGCCACCATTTTTAACTAATGAAGAAACTTGGGCACAAAGTGGCTAAGAGATGTGGCCCATATCTTATAGCTACATGGGAAGAGGGAACAGAATTTAGGTTTTTGGTGGACAGGGAACTGAATAAGCCCTGCGTAAAAGCAGTATTTCTGGCAATAATGGTGTCTCTGGCATCAAAAGAAACAATTATACTTTTGGATATCCATCTGTCCTGTCCACAGATATTTTGTGAGCACCATACATGTGCCAAGTACGCAGGGGAGACAGAAGAGTGAACAAGACTGACACAATCCTGCCATGACAGTCGAGTGGGATGCAGAGAGGAAGACGACGTCACAATGTACTGTGACAGTGTCATGGGGGGAGAACCACAAGGGCAGCCAAGAGTGACACTCAGACCTGGGGTGAGATAGCTCCTCGACACCTGTCATGATGCAAATGCCTGAGAATGCTGGATGCGTTACATCCAGCAGCTGTAGAACATAAAGATGTTCTGAAAAAAATCTGTGGCTACTTCAGATCTAAGAAACATCACTTTATAAGTAATGTGGGAGAACTGTGGGAAAACTGAAAGGTACTTTTCCTGAAAAGAATAACACTGGTGTCTTCACATTCTGACTTGGCAAAGTCAAATATAACAGTCAACAAGAGTTTTCAGAGGCAATTCCTCCTTCACCTGATTTCATTTTACTTTTCCCCCACCTTCTTGTTGCTCTCAGAGAGCCAAAGAGATCATCTTTTTCATCTAAAACTTCTCTTACTGGGGGTTTATGAGCTGGGTTTCCACTAGAAATGCAATTTTCAAGGTCCAAAGAAGTAATGGGATTTAAAAGAGCGTGTGTGCCAAGAGCAAGTGATGGCATCCGTGTGCCCTTGGTCATCCAAGGGCAGTCTCAAGACTTGAGCTCTATGAAAAATGTCTTCAATATCTGTCTTTTCCTTTCGCTGGACTGTAAATTTCAAGGAATGATTAGCTCTACTTATTAAAAAATGAGCAGGGACCACCACCAAAGAAGAAAAATACCTTCTAGGTGTTTATTTAAAATAAATTCCACCTTCTCCGGAAGGGAAATGCATTTATCTTAACAAGTAGTAGTCCTGAATTCCTGAAGCTCTATTTCAAGCACTCACTCTCTATTTACCTCATCTGGCTAGATGTCCTGACCTAAGCTCATCATTCCTGGTCTCTACTGACTTGTGAGATCCAGAGGAAATGAATATAAGTTATTTATAGGACAACTTTAATTAAAAACGGTTGTGACCAGAGAATGGCTCTGACAAATAATACTGTCTGCTGTACACCAGAGTCCCCAGTAACCCCTGTCTCAGCATGAAATCACTTTTGAGTGTGATGGTTAAAATGGGCAGCCTGCAACCATGGGCTCCTCTCCAAGGCTCAAGCATTTTCAGTAGGGTGGAAAGAAAATGGGCCTTGGGGGAGGGATAAAACACAGTCAACATCTCCACTTTTTACATGCTGTAATTACCCAACATGACATGCTTTTTACCTCAGGGAAGGGAAAGTGAAGAGCAGATCTTTGGAAAAAGCAACTCAACTGTAATTTACTCTCGTGGGCTAACTGATATGTTTGGAAAACTTCTTGTAGTTCAAGTTGCAGCAACCAGGAGGACAAATGGACACGGGCTTAATGCAGCCATCCTCAGACTTCATGGTTTTGAGATTCTTTTGTACTCTAAAAATTACTGAGGACTTCCAAAGAGCTTTGTTTATGTGGGCTATATCTATCACTATTCACCACGATGAACATAAAGCTGAGAAATATAAAAAATATTTATAGTTCACTTAAAACATAATAAACTGAACCATAGTACATTTATATAAAAAATAAAAGAAGCTTTTCCATAGCAAAAAAACACAAACAAATAAAAAAAAAAAACAACACCAAACTAGTGAGAATACTGGCATTATTCCATATTTTTACAAATCTCTTTAATGCCTGGCTTAATAATAGAAGACAGATGGATCCTCATATGTACCTTAATGCTAGTCTATTTTTTTAAGATTTAATTTATTTATTTCAGAGTGGGGGGGGCGCAGAGGGAAACAATCCCCAAGCAGACTCCCTGCTGAGCATGGAGCCTGACTCAGGGTTTGATCTCAGGACTCATGAGATCACGATCTGAGTTAAAACCAAGAGTTGGACACCCAACTGACTGAGCCACCTAGGTGTTCCTGTGCTAATCTATTTTTATGATTTTAGTTAAAGTATATGAAGAAAC